GAGTGACGGGATGGGGCGCAGGCCAGGCCATTCAGCCCTTCCTCGGCCCTCCCTTCTGGACCTCAGCGCCGCGTCTCATTCCGGCCCCATGTGCTTTTTGGTCCGTAGACGATCCTCCTCCAAGACAAACAGCGGAAAATCTACTGCGTTGCTTGTCAAGAACTCGACTCAGACGTGGATAAAGATAATCCCGGTGAGGGTAAAAAAAATAATCCGGGAGAGGTGTGTGATTGGCGGAGAAGCGTGATGAGTGGTGATAGAGGCCGCAGAACAGTAGGCCTGGGAGGTGACAGTGGAGTCTCTGGGTGGTGCAGAGGTAAAATGTTTTCTCTTTTAGGCTTTAAAGAGGACTATTCACTCAGTAAGAGCAGCAAGCACCTTCTGTGTGCCAGCCACTGCGCGAGAGTCTGAGCTCAGTCAGACCCAGTACTGATGGAGAGTTGAAGCTAGGGCATAAATGTGATACATAGTAGAAAGTGGATAAGTTGCCTTATAGAGGGACAGGGAAAACACCTCAAGCACAGAAAGAGCAGAGCAGAAAAGGAGATGACTCAGGGCTGAGGTGGGCCAGGCATCCTGACCATTCTACTCACTTTCTCCTCTTTTTAGCTCTGAATGCCCAGGCTGCCCTCTCCCAAGCTCGGGAGCACCAGCTGGCCTCAGCCTCAGAGCCCGCCTTGGGCTCTCGACCTGCACCCCAGCCCCCAGTACCTCGTCCAGAGCACTGTGAGGGAGCTGCAGCAGGGCTCAAGGCAGCCCAGGGACCACCCCCTCCTGCTGTGCCTCCAAATGCAGATGTCATGGCCTGCACACAGACAGCCCTCTTGCAGAAGCTGACCTGGGCCTCTGCTGAACTGGGCGCTAGCACCTCCCTGGAGACTAGCATCCAGCTGTGTGGCCTTATCCGGGCGTGTGCGGAGGCCCTGTGCAGCCTGCAGCAGCTGCAGCACTGAGAGTAGCCCCTGAGAAAAACCCTCTAGAAAAACAGCTGTTCCTCTGTGTGGTTTGTTCTTTTCCTGGTTCTGAGTGTGCATGCCAGCCGCAGCTCCACTCACTTTTTTCAACTTTTGGCCTCTCACCTCTCCACTCTCTGCTCTTCTTGACGCCCTGAGATGAATTGAGCTTGTTTCTGCTCAGTTTCCCCAGTCAGGATGAGGGATTAGCCAGAGGACTATGTGATGCCCCTTTTCTCAAGAAGAGGACATAGCCTCTTCAAAGGTAGGAGCCAGAGGGCTGGACCCTACCCTTGTCTCTGGCAGCACCTCTGCAACCTCTTCCGCCATCCGGTGCCCATTCCCCACCTGGAAGTGAGATTTTGGGTTCCAATCCTCTTGATAGAATCCTCTCTTCCCCTGAGCATTCTGACCCTATCAGCCTATCCCAGCCATGCCCACCCCAGGTACTCAGACACCGACCGACAGGAGTTTGTGGTGACCCCAGCGTCAAGGGGCACGTTAGGCACCAAGTGTGGACTTGCCAGTCTCCTGACTCCACTGTTAGATCATTTTCCTTGGGAGGGTAATGGACAGAACTGGGGGCGGGGGGGAGGCGGGGATCGGGGCGCGGCAGGGAGACGAGGCAGCAAAAGGAACCGCGAAGGAACCACGCCTGCCCCTTTTGGCCTTTCCCCCTCTCCGCCTCCCTTTTCCATCTCCCCTTGGGTGGGTGCCCCGCTGCCTTTTCTCAGCTTTGCGCGAGTGGTTCCACAGCTGTTGCCTTTTTAAGAGAGGCCCGGCCCATGCGGAGGGGGTGGGGCAGAGGCGGAGTCTGAGGAGCTTGGGAAGGAACAAAGCGCGGCCTGCGGGCGGCGGCTGGCTCCGGCGGGGCCGCGGGGTGCGGGGCCTGCGGGCGGCCGCCCGGGCAGAGCGTTGAAAGGAAGAAGGTGGCATCGCCGGCCCGGCCATGAACGGGCTGCCCTCGGCCGAGGCGTCAAGCGGCGCGGGTTGCGCCCTGGCCGGGCTCCCACCGCTGCCGCGCGGCCTCAGCGGCCTCCTTAACGCGAGCGGGGGCTCGTGGCGGGAGCTGGAGCGCATCTACAGCCAGCGCAGCCGCATCCACGACGAACTGAGCCGCGCCGCCCGCGCCCCGGATGGGCCCCGCCACGCCGCGGGTGCCGCCAACGCGGGACCCGCAGCCGGCCCTCGTCGTCCTGTCAACCTCGACTCGGCACTGGCCGCGCTGCGCAAGGAGATGGTGAGTGGGTGGGCGCCGGACCAGCGGAGCGCAGACACCCAGACAAGCTGCCTGGGTCTCAGAGAACTTGCAGGCACAGGTCGGGTTCCAAGGGTTATGGGAACGATAATTAGTGATAGTTACCAATTACGGCAGTAGTTACCCTATATTTCCAGACGTCTTGATGACGTTACTTCATTTCATCCCGCTAAATGCATGAGAACCCCATTTTTTTAGGAGACGGTCAGGACTTGCCTAAAGTTGCAAAGCTCGCAGGTGGTGCCTGACGTCCACAAAAACTTTGTTTAGGAAGGTGCTGGGAAGATGGGCCCAGGATTCCAGGGCATGGGGCTGGGCTGGGGTGGCCTGGACCCCAACTCCAGCCCACCCTCAGTTGTCTGCAGGTGGGGCTGCGGCAGTTGGACATGTCCCTGTTGTGCCAGCTGTGGGGCCTGTACGAATCAATCCAGGACTACAAACACCTGTGCCAAGACCTGAGCTTCTGCCAGGACCTGTCATCATCCCTCCATTCAGACAGCTCCTACCCACCTGATGCGGGCCTGTCTGATGACGATGAGCCTCCTGATGCCAGCCTGCCCCCTGACCCGCCACCCCTCACTGTGCCCCAGACGCACAATGCCCGTGACCAGTGGCTGCAGGATGCCTTTCACATCAGCCTCTGAAGAGCTGGGGGGCAGATGGGCATGCGCCCCTGCAAAAGGCTCAGAACCCCCTCAGCAAGCCCTCAGACTGCAGAGCGTTCGCCTCCCCACACCGCCTCACCTCACAGGAGGGCCAGGCATGTGTCCCTCAGAGGCGAGACTGCCAAACCCCTTCTCCTGTCTTGGGTTGGCTGGCACTGGGGCGGGCACCTAGAGTACAGCCTCTGCCCATGGCACTGGGCCTCCACTTTTTCCACATATGTGCACCCCCAGCTTGGCCAACCCTCAGCCTTGCAGTGGAGCCCAAAGCATCTTCCCTCTCCTTGGCGTCTCTGGGATTGGGATGAGTGCCTGGCTCCCATCTCCTCACCTTTTGTTGCTATCGGCAGCTGCTGGCTCAGGGGCATCCCACCTCCGGGCTCCGGGTTCCTCTGTCCTGGAAGGGCTCCAGGGCCCGTCCCTACACCCACCCACGGCCAGAAGGGCCAAGGCCCCATGCTGGATATATAAATTTAGGGGCCAGCCTCCTGGGCGCGTAGATAAATAAATACTCTCAGCGTCACTGTGCTCTGCCTGGCTGGCTCTGGGGCGGGAAGACCGCGGTGTTTTGGCAGGTGCGGCCCTGCGCTCTGCCGGCAGGTGGCGCCCGAGACCCCCCCGAGTGAAGGCCCTGCTGTCCTGCCCGGGCGGGGCTGGGGGCGCTCCCGGCTGGCGGAGCCTGGCTCCGCCGCTGAGTGACTGCGGTCGAGTCACTTCCCCTCTCGCCGCGGCCTTGGAGTGCTCCGCCCCGCCCCCTCCTGGTTCGCTTCGGACTTTCCCTGCAGGCTGGGAAGGAGAAGGAGCCGCCCACCTTGAGGAGGGAAACTTTCCACCCCGCGCGGGGCGGGGTTGGGGCGGCGCAGGAAATGGGTGGCTGGAGTCGGCGGAGCAAGGGGCCCCGGGGGAGGGGGCGGGGAGGCGCCTTCTGGGATGGCCTGGAAGCTCAGGCCCTGCAGATGGGAGGGAGGGGCGGCGGCACAGGCAGAGGGGAGCGAAGTCGCGGCACCCCGGGCCTCCCCGGAGGCCAAGGCATGGGACTCCACGGCGGTGGGGGGTGATTGGGGTCCCAGGCACCCTTATTCCCCGCTCAGTCTATGAAGACCGCCGGCTCTCCCCACAGCACTAGCGGCCTTTATAGTTGCCTGTAAAAGGTTTTTATTAGGAAATTGGGGACCCACACGGCTGGGACTGGGAACCAAACAGGTGTCAGGCCCACCGGAAAAAGCCTGCACGTTCGGAGACAGTGGGTACTCAACCCCCCGCGCCTTCACACTGCACCCCACAACCTCCTGAAAAGAGGTGAAGCCGCACACCGAGGCGTGCGGACGAGCAGTGCATCCCCGCACCCTGCTGCAGACTCTTGCTTCCTGGAGATGCAGCCCAGCTGGCAGTCCTGGCCCTCAGACATCCCTTTAAACCGAGTAGCAGTCGCGCACCGGGCTCCTGTCCATCTACACCTTGCAGAGCAACGGGGAGGCAGCAAACTGACCTGTTGCCCCAGGGCAGCTGACACTTGCGGAGGCTCATTACCAAGCGGGGTGGGTGGGTAGGCGATAAGGGCTCTAATCTAGGGGTTCATAGAGCCGCTAATGCCCCAGGCAGGCTTTCCTGGGGAGACAGAGTAAACATACGCACAAAACCGACAGGTTTTCCCATCCACGATAGCGCATCCCTTTTAATGAGGCATGGCAAAATCAGCCAGCTCCCTGCTAAGTGCTTTCTGAGTTTCATCCTCTCAGTGATTCTGTAAAAGGCCGGTCTATAATTATCCCCATTTAACAGACGTTGAAGCTGAGGCTCAGAGTGTTAGCGCTTTGCCCATGGTCACACACTTGGTTGGAGGCCAGTTGTGAATCTCCAGCTGCTCTTCGGGGGTTGGGATTATCTTCCCACTTGACAGCAAAGTCAGGTTCTGAGATTGCGGGAGGGGTACCCCCCCCACAGGTATGGCCACCGAGGTTAGTCCTGACTCTACACCTTTCTGCTCTGGTTAAGACGTGGGTGGCTGCACCCTGGAGTTGAGAGAGCGTCCAGATTCACAGTATGACTCTGAGCAAGTCCCTTCCCCTTTCTGGGTCTCAGTTTTCCTAGACGGTGAAATGGGGCCAGCAGTACATACCTCCCAGGGCTGCGGGCAGGAAGGGAGGCGGCCCAGGCAGCTCTCTCTAGGGTGGCACCAAGTTGCCGGTTGCCCTCTCTCCGGACCCAAGCGTTCCCCACCCGGCCAGCGGAGTCCAGGCAGCCTCTGCGCGCAGCAAGCCGCCGCTGCGGTCAGGTGACACCCCCTCCACGCCCCCGCTCCCGCTCCCGCTCACACTCCCCGGTCACGACTCGAGGCCCCGGAAGCCGGGTCGCCCCGCCCCCACGCTCCTGCCCCGGCCCCCGCCCCGCGCCGGAGCCCCGCCCGCCTTCCGACGGGGGTGCGGCTCCAGGAAACGGTGCGCTCGCAGCTCTGTGCTCCGCCACCCGACGCGCCCCAGACGACCCCGTCGACTCAGCCAGACCACTCGACGGGCCCCAGCGGCGGCAGCGGAGAGCGCGATCCCGGGTTGGAACCTGGGACACCTCTGCACGGACGGGGCGGGCAGCACAGACAGGCCATGGGGACCCGGGCCGGGCCAGCAAAGGCGGGCCAGCGGGAGTACCGGGCCTGAGAAGTGGGCAGCGGGGCAGCGGTGACCATGACCTCGGTGTGGAAGCGCCTGCAGCGCGTGGGCAAGCGGGCAGCCAAGTTCCAGTTCGTGGCCTGTTACCACGAGCTGGTGTTGGAGTGCACCAAGAAATGGTGAGTGGCAGGAGGCCGGAGGTTGGGGGGGCCTTCCCCCACTGGCTGGGACCCCATCTGGCCTTTGAGCCTGAGAGGACTCTGCCCCCAAGCCCAGTGACCAAATGGACCCCCACCTCAGCTTGGGCCCTGGTTCTGTTCCCAGACGATTCAGAAGCCCTTGCACCTTGTGGGACCCCTGGAGTTTGGGGTATCGGCATCCTTCCCTGCGGGGGTCAGGACTTTCAGGCCTGAGGGTCTGTCTGTGTCTGCTCCCTCCTCTGATGCGATCAGGGCTGGGGGAGGGAGGCCGCATGTCTTCTGCCAGAAAGGTGGTTCAGGGTGGCATGGAAAAGGGAGCACGTTTTGAGGTCTGCAGGTGGCCAGAGCTGGAACAGAAACCTCCGTGACCTTAGTCCACCCCACAAGAGAGATGTTGCCCCTCCTCCCCTGCCATCTTGAGGGAGAAGAACCCCTTCAACTCCCGCCTCTTCAGCCAGAGTGTTGGGAGGCTGGTAACATCTCCACAATGTCCTTAAAAGGGGAAACTGAGTGCTGGGAGGAATGAGGAGGGAGGTGGGGGGCGGCTTAAAGGGGCCTGAGGACCTAGGCTTGTGGGTCCAGGAAGAGAGGGCTGCAGAGGGCACAGTGGCTGGGTGAGGGGCGATTCACTTGAGGGTGCAGGCCCCAGCCCGGACTGCCAACAGACTCAGGGGCATCTCATTCACATGCCCCCATCTACAGCTGCCCAGGCCCCTGCGTCACACCCTAAATATACGTGCTCGCTGGTGTCAGCTTCCCTTGGCTGGATTAGGGCACAGCTGTGGGGGCCTCACCCGCCAGGCGGGGCTAAATTTAGGCTCCCCAGGGGAAGGGCTGGGGCAGGAAGGGACCGTGGGGTCCAGGGGGAGGGGAGTGAGCAGGAGGCTGGGGTCCCTTGGGCAGCTGCCATATCCCTGGCCTTGCCTACACTGGGCCTGCTAGAGGGCCGTTCACTCCATTCAGCAGAGCGCCAGAGAGCTTGGGGGCTGGCACTTGAACTCTGGCCTCTGGCTCCTGCTCCAGCATCCTGAGGGAGGCCAGGGAAATGCTGGGCATGGCAGGCTGAGGGTGCCGGCAGTGTCAACGCAGCTGAGTCACAGGCGGCTGTGGGTAGGGCCTCCTGGGCTGCTTAGCCTGGAGCCCAGGCCAGGAAGCTGCCCCTGCCCAGGTCGCAGCTTCCAAGGAGGGCGTTCCCAGCCTGAGTCAGGCTGCCCAGCCAAGCCCCGCCTTCCCTAGGCTCCCCCTGTCCGCTTCCCCTTTCTGGGAAGGCCCCTTAGTTACCCTTGCTCTGCCATTGCTGGCAGTTTGGGTTTGGGGAAGGGAACTTGGCTCTGGGCTGGAGAACTCTAGGCTCAGCGGTATAACCTTATTTGGCTCCAAACCTCTCTGGGCCTCAGCATCCTCAGGGTTAACAGAAAGCCAGTTATCCTGGCTTGGCTCCCAGAGGAGCAGTGAGCTGGGCAAACCCGAGCATCTAGCATGGGGCTGGGTACAGGCAAGGCAAGCTCGTGTCCTGCCCTCGGCCGATTGTTCCCTTAAGCATCACCTCTCCTGGGCAGCAGTTGAACATCTAACCCAAAGGGACTCTCTGCCCCCAGGCCCAGCTGTGAGAGTCCACTCAGTGTCTGGGAATGGGCCCTGTGCAGCTGTCCCTCTCCCCTTGCTTCGCCTCTGTCTCCCCATATCTCTGCCTCTTTTCTGTGTCTGCCCTGGCATATACTGTTCAGCTTAGATGTCACCCCCTGGAATTTTTCCCTGATTGCCCCACAGGCTCCATTGTCATCATCTTGCTGCAAAGCCGCTCCTCCTTGGGACCCCCGGGCCCAGCAAAGGGCTGGACATGGTGGGCGAGGGATGACGGTGTTGACCCTCTGCTGCCTCTCTGGCCTCACCCCCAACTCTCTGACCTCATCCTCCAGCCACAGACCCTTGGACTTGCTATTCCCTCTGTCCCAGATCCTCACAGCCCATCCCCCATCACTCATGTCTCTGCTGACACCCAACCTCAAGGAGATCCCCAAGGGGTTCCCTCACATCACCTTGAAGTTTGCTTGTTAATGTATTTTCCTTCTTGACTGGTAGTCTGTCCCCACCTCTATTGTCCTCCTTGGAAAGGTCTTGCCTCTCCTTTGCCCTGCTCTGTCCCCAAAACTGGGCTGTTTATGGTGGGCAGTCCACAAACATCTGTGCACCAATGGATTTCTTTTAACCCCGTCTTTGTCTCTTCCTGTGTCGGAGTCTGCATGTGTGCGCGACGCTCGAGTGCGAATCTGTGTCTGGCGTCTCTTGCCGAGTCCTTGTGTTTGTGTCTTGGTCTCTGTCTGTCTGTCCCTGTCTCTCTTGCTGTCTGTCCTCATAGTCAGTGCCTGCCCACACTGTCTGGGCCTTTGCCCTTCTGCTCTGGCCCCACCCTGCCTCAGCAGCTCCACCCTGCACCCTGTGGCCCCAGATAAGGGGCTGCCCAGGCCCTCTCTTGGAGGGAGGGGGAGGTGGGCAGAAGGAAGACCCTGAGGGAGCTGGGGGAGGAGGAGGAAGAGGAGATGGGGAGGCGGGTGAGCCTGACTAAGCAGCCCACTCCCTTCCCTCTCCCACTCCCCCAGGCAGCCGGATAAACTAGTGGTGGTATGGACCCGGCGGAACCGACGCATCTGCTCCAAGGTGGGGAAGGATGGCCACTGGGGGTCCAGATTAGGGATGTGGGCCAAGGGGAGGCTGAAGGCAGCTGATGGGGGAGTGGAGTCAGGTTCAAGTTCAGATCAGAATCCACAGAGGGGAGAGGAAGATGGTGGCAAGGTTGGCGATGGGGGTGGGGGTGAGAGGAAACACTTAGGATGGGATGAGGACTTAGATTGCCCCTTGTAGGCCCACAGCTGGCAGCCGGGCATCCAGAACCCATACCGGGGCACCGTGGTGTGGATGGTACCTGAGAATGTGGACATCTCTGTGACCCTCTACAGGGTGAGTCTCTAGTCCTCCAGCATGGATGGCAATGGGCAGGCAGCTGCAACCCAGGCAGCCACCAGGGTCTCCTGGTGAGTTGTTCATCCAGATAGAAGAGGATGTGGGGGGTGAGGCCAAGAACTGGGGGACCTGCTCAGCATGACTGGCCCAGGAGGCCACCTTGCAGAAGGCAGCATTTACCCAACATATGCAGCATGAGAGGCAGCTGGGACCAGAACCTGGGCATTCCAGGAGGAGGTAGCAGCATGTGTCAGCTATCACCTCCTGCCTGTAATCCCAGCTACTTGGGAGGCTGACGCAGGAGAATCACTTGAACCTGGGAGGCCGAGGTTGCAGTGAGCCAAGCACCACTGCACTTCAGCTTGGGTGACAGAGCTAGACTCCATCTCAAAAAAAAAAAAAGAAAAATGCCACCAAGCACCTCCTGAGCCAGCGCAGGCTCTGCTCCCTTTGCTGCCACCCCAGCAGCCCTGTTCTCACCAGCACCCTTCTTCCCAGGACCCCCACATGGACCAGTATGAGGCCAAAGAGTGGACATTTATTATTGAAAATGTGAGTGTCTGGAGTGGGCTCGGGTCTGGAATTTTGGGGACCCTGGGATAGCACCGATGCCCCTTTCCCTTGTCTTCCCTCTGGCCCACAGGAGTCTAAGGGGCAGCGGAAGGTGCTGGCCACAGCTGAAGTAGACCTGGCTCGCCATGCGGGGCCCGTGCCTGCCCAGGTCCCACTGAGGCTTCGGCTGAAGCCCAAGTCAGTGAAGGTGGTGCAGGCCGAGCTGAGCCTCACTCTCTCAGGGGTGCTGCTGCGGGAGGGCCGTGCCACGTGAGTGCCCACCTGCCCTCCTTGACCCTGGCCTGTGACCTCTGACCCCCACCCTCACCTATGACCTCTGTCCCCTAGGGATGATGACATGCAGAGTCTCGCAAGCCTCATGAGTGTGAAGCCTAGTGATGTGGGCAACTTGGATGACTTTGCTGAGAGTGATGAAGACGAGGCTCATGGCCCAGGAGCCCCCGAGGCCCGGGCTCAAGTCTCCCAGCCAGGTGGGCTCACAGCCTGCTGCAGATCAGGACTGCCAAGACCTGGGGAGGGAGGGTTACCCAGGCCACCAGCCACCTGTTGCACCTGCCCTGTGATGGGAACTCGTTACTGCTCAGGCAGTCCCAACCAGCCCAGCAGCCTCAATTGTCTCAACCTGGCTGCCAGTCCCACGGTGGCCTCAGTCTTCAGCTGAGTCCTGGAGGATGGGTTCCCAATGCCTCCCTGGGCTCCTGGGTCATCTCTTCATCCCCACATGGTGCTTGCCAGGCCCAGACCTGACCCAGGACAGTGGGTCAGAAGCCCGGCTCCTGATCGCTCACTGCCAGCCCTCCTGGGCCAGCAGGGGCTTCATCATCCCTCCCTGATGCTTGTCCAGGCTTTTTGTCTGTCTGCTGTTGTGGTTATCTCTCTCTTTCTCTCCACATCTGTGGGCCTGTCTCTTCTCACAGGCCGGGGCGGTGCCCTGAGGCCGGTGCGTTTCCCAGGTAGGCCCTGCACTCTAGCTGGGGGGAGGGGGTCAGGCCTGCAGGGCCCTGCCCTCGGCTAACTCTGCCCTTCTCCCCGATCCTACCCCCCCCAGATTCCTCTCGAGAGCTGAAGACGCTTTGTGAGGAGGAGGAGGAAGGCCGAGGACGACCCCAGCAGGCAGGTGAGGCCCAGGCTGGGGCTAGGGGTAGGGACTGGACCCCAGGTCACCAGGGCCAGGCCTCAGTGTCCCCCACTTCCTCTTCAGTTGTCAGCCCTTCTAGTGCTGAGGACACCAGCTCAGCCCCTGTGAGTGCTCCTGCACCCCCAGCCAGAGCCTCTCGAGGCCAGGGGTCAGAACGAGCTACTGAAGCCGGGGGCCAGCTGGGCCCTGAGGCCCCAAGGCCCCCAGAAACCTCAGCAGAGATGAGGTGAGCTTTGGAACCAGCCCCACCCCCAATGCTCCCTGATAGGAGCTGCATCCCTCACCTGCTACCAACCTGCCTCTCCAGGGCCCCAACAGTCTGAAGGGTGGGGGATGGTGCTAAGAACTGGGGGCATGTGAGCCCCCCAACATCCCCTCTTGCTCTCTTCTCAGGTCTTCAAGGCAGCCAGGCCAGGACACAGCCCCCACCCCAGCCCCTCGGCTCCGGAAAGGCTCTGATGCCCTCCGGCCCTCAGTCCCCCAAGGGGAGGATGAGGTCCCCAAAGCCTCAGGGGCTCCCCCAGAAGGATTGGGCTCTGCCAGGGAGACCCAGGCCCAGGCATGCCCTCAGGAAGGGACAGAAGCCCATGGAGCTAGGCTGGGCCCAGGCATTGAGGAGAAAGGCTCTGGAGAGCCTTTTGGAGGGCAGAGACTCAAGGCTGAAGACATGGGTACCGGGGACAGGCAAGAGGCCAGTGGGGAGGACACTGAGGCCAGTCGGGGGGATACTGAGGTTGGTGGTATGGACAGTGAGCCCGGGGCAAGAGGCAGAGGGGTCAACACTCAGAGGGCAGGAGTCAGAGCTGGGGAGCCTACAGAGAGTTCAGCGGTTTGTCAAGGGGATGCTGAGCAGAGGTTAAAGGTGGGACATGTGGACAATAAGGGACCAGAGGCGACAAGGGCGATGCCTGAGGCAAGATGCAGGGGGACCCCTGAGGCTCCTCCAAGGGGCTCTCAGGAAAGGGTGGGAGTCAGGACCAGGGATGAGGCTCCCTCAGGCCTGAGCCTGCCCCTAGTGGAGCCTGCAGGGCATTCTGGGCATCTTGGTGACCTCCAGGGGGCCAGGGTTGCTGCAGGCCAGGAGAGAGAGGGTGTAGAAGTGAGGGGCGGAGCCCCTGGTATTGAGGGGACAGGCCTGGAGCAGGGCCCCTCTGTTGAAGCAACAAGCACCGGGCCACAGGTGAGCAGCTGGCAGAGGGTCCTGTTATCAGCTACCCAGGGGGTGATATCCAGGGGTCTGGGGGCCTGGGAGGCAGAAGCTGGGGGTTCAGGAGTCCTGGAAACAGAGACTGAGGTGGTAGGGTTGGAGGTGCTGGGAACCCAGGAGAAAGAAGTCAGGGGGTCGGGGTTCCCAGAGACAAGGACACTAGAAATTGAGATACTGGGGGCCTTGGAGACAGAAGCAGCAAGATCAAGGGTCCCGGAGTTGGAGGTTGCAGGGACAGCACAGTCTGAGGAACTGGAGACCCAGGAAGCCCAGGGGGCGGCCACAGAGGCCGCAGGGACAGAGACTGGGGTGGCAGGAGCTGAGGCATTGGGGACCCAGAAAACAGAGGCTGGGGGTCCAGGAGTTGTGGAGACAAGAACTAGGATAGCAGAGACTGAGGTACTGGGGACCCACAAGATATCTGGGGACTCGGGAACACTGAAGCTTGAAGGTAAGATAGCAGAATCTGAGATGCAGGGGACCCAGGAGACAGAGGTGGAAGATTCTAGGGTACCAGAGACAGAGGCTAAAACATTAGGGACCCTGGAGATAACAGCTAGGAGTTCAGGGGTCCCAGAGACAGAAGCTGAGATAGCAGAGTCTGAAATATTGGTAGCCCACGAGATAGAGATGGGGCTTTTGGGGGTCCCAGGGATAGAGACTGGGGCAGCAGAAGCTGTGATATTGGGGACCCAAGAGATACCATCTGGGGATTCAGGGGTCCCAGGGCCAGAAGCTGATGTAACAGGTATCCAGGCTACAGAGGTGGGGGGTTCAGAAGTTCCAGGAGTAGAGACTGGGACAGCAGAAGCTGTGATACTGGGGACCCAAGAGATAGCATCTAGGGGTTCAGGGGTCCCAGGGTTAGAATCTAAGGTGACTGGGACCCAGAAGATGGAGGTGGGGGAATCAGGGATCTCAGGGTCAGAATCTGAGGTAGGTGGGGCCCAGGAGACAGAGGTGGGGGCGTCAGGGATCTCAGGGTCAGAATCTGAGGTAGGTGGGGCCCAGGAGACAGAGGTGGGGGCGTCAGGGATCTCAGGGTCAGAATCTGAGGTAGGTGGGGCCCAGGAGACAGAGGTGGGGGCGTCAGGGATCTCAGGGCCAGAATCTGAGATAGGTGGGGTCCAGGAGACAGAGGTGGGGGCGTCAGGGATCTCAGGGTCAGAATCTGAGGTAGATGGGGCCCAGGAGACAGAGGTGGGGGCGTCAGGGATCTCAGGGTCAGAATCTGAGGTAGGTGGGGCCCAGGAGACAGAGGTGGGGGCGTCAGGGATCTCAGGGTCAGAATCTGAGGTAGGTGGGGCCCAGGAGACAGAGGTGGGGGCGTCAGGGATCTCAGGGCTAGAGGCTGGAATGGCAGAGGCCGGAGTACTGATGACCCAGCAGACAGAAATTATAGTTCCAGAGGCTCAGAAGGAAGACGTTCAGACTTTAGGGGGCCAGGAAGCAGAGACTGGAGTTGGGAGTGCTCTCAACTCTGGGGCCTTAAAGACCCCAGTCACTCAGCCAAGAGTTGTAGGATCCCAGGAAACAAAAGCAGAGATTTCAAGACTACAAAGGTCAGAGACTGAAGTTCTGAGAGTCCAGGAGGCAGAGGCTGGGATTTGGGGGATTTCAGAGGCCAAATCTGGGGCTTTGGGAGCCCAGGAGGCAGAGATGAAGGTTGTAGAGCCTCTGGAGAACAAATCTGGTATTTTTGAGGCCCAGGAAGCGGAGGCTGGGGTCGTAGGAAACCAGAAGGGGAAAGAAGCTGAGGGAAGCCTCGAAGAGGCCAGCCTGACTGAAGCACAGGTGGCCAGTGGGGCAGGGGCTGGGGTGCCCAAGGCCTCTTCCCCAGAGAAGGCTGAAGAGGACAGGAGGCTGCGGGGCAGCCAGGTAGGGATGGGGGCCGCCGAGGGCCCAGGCTGTTGCTTCTCACTAACCTGGGGCTGAGCGAACGGTGGCTCTGCATGGACCCACCTGGTGGGCTGGGATGGGGTGGGGTGGGGTGGGGGGCTCGGCTTGAAGGAGCCCCCTCATCCCCTCCTCTCCCAGGATGCCTTGGCTCTCCTACCCCACCTTCCCTGGGCCACATGGAGCTGGATACCTAAGCTGATTTTCTGGGCTGACCTTGAGGTGTGGCTGCTGGTGACCTCTGATCTTGTCTGGGAGCCACTGATCTTTTAGGTGACCTTGGCAGATAACCATGGATCTGGAAACCCTTTTGCCTGGCCCCAAGGCTTTGGCCAGTGTCTCTGGTGACCCATGCAAGCTCAGAGATGGGGCTGTTTTGTGCCAGGCATGAGCCTCCCCAAGGGGCAGAGGGCACAGGTCCCATTTGTACATGCCCTAAGGCCCCCCTGTGTCCCCAGGCGCCGCCTACCCTGGTCAGCTCTAGCCAGTCCCTGCTGGAGTGGTGCCAGGAGGTGACCGCTGGCTATCGTGGGGTCTGCATCACCAACTTCACCACATCCTGGCGAAACGGATTGGCCTTCTGTGCCATCCTGCACCGATTCTACCCAGACAAGATGTGAGCTGCCAGAGGGGTGGGAACACATTGGGGAGCCATCAGGGAGGGCAGTGTGGACCCAGCCTCTGACCGATGCTCCCTTTGCAGTGACTATGTCTCCCTAGACCCACTCGACATCAAGCAGAACAACAAGCAGGTGAGATGGGGTGGGGGGCCTGCCTGGAGGGAAGGAGGGTTTAGAGAGCCAGGCTTTCAGTCTCTGATTTGGAAAAGGTGGGCTGCGGGTCCCCAGCCGTAGCTTCTAGAAGTTTTGCCATTTTTTACCTTTTTGGTCATTAAATTGTTTGCTTTCCTTCGTTTCGTTTGTTTTAAAGCGTTTTAACTCCCTTAGATGGTTTTTCCAAAACCACCCTTTGGTAACGGGGTGGACGGCGTGCAGTTGCTAAGCAACGCGAGGGCGGGCCCTGTTGCTGGATTTCCCTCTCTAGGAGCGGGCGGTGTTGCTCGGCGAAGTCCGGCGAGCCAGTGCCTGGGACCCCCTCCGCGGGGTGGCACCGCAGTGTTGCGGGGTGCCGCAGGCCACCGCCGCCGCTGACCCCAAGCGCACCCTTCCCCCAGGCCTTCGATGGCTTCGCGGCCCTGGGCGTGTCGCGGCTGCTGGAGCCCGCGGACATGGTGCTGCTGTCGGTGCCCGACAAGCTGATCGTCATGACGTACCTGTGCCAGATCCGCGCCTTCTGCACCGGGCAGGAGCTGCAGCTGGTGCAGCTGGAGGGCGGCGGCGGCGCCGGCATGTACCGCGTGGGCAGCGCCCAGCCCAGCCCGCCCGAAGATCTGGACGCTGGAGGCCTGGCACAGCGGCTGCGCGAGCACGGGGTCGAGGCGCCCCAGGAGCCCAAGGAGGCCGCGGACGGGGCGGCCCCGGGGGCAGCCTCCAGGAACGCGGATGCGGGCCGCGCCTCCAAGGACGGTGGGGCCGAGGCCGCCCGAGAGACGCGACCCACCGAGGTTCCCGCAGAGGGGTTGGTGAATGGGGCGGGGACGCCGGGCGGCGGCGGCGTGAGGCTGCGACGGTCCTCGGTCAACGGGGAGGCCGGGCCGGTGCCTCCGCCCCGCGCGCACGGCTCCTTCTCCCACGTGCGTGATGCAGACCTGCTCAAGAAGAGGCGCTCGCGGCTGCGGAACAGCAGCTCCTTCTCGGTGGACGATCCAGACGGGGGAGTCGCGGGAGCTGCGACTGCGGTGAGTGTCCGGGCTCCTCCTGTCCTCCCCCGCCATAGTGTGGGGCCCTAGGAAGCCGGGCAGAGAATAGGCGGGTCCCCAAGGACAGAGCTGGGGTCGGGGAGATGGTTTCAGAGTCTGGGGATGCTCGGCTCGACCCGGGAGGGGCTTTCTGATCAGAGGGACCCCAGTGCTGTGGACGAGTCCTCTGGTGTGGTGGTGAGCTCCCAGTTAGGGGATGCACTGGAGCCAAGAACTGCCAGGCAGGGTCCCGGGCTTTGCTATCAGCCTGGGATAAGTGCTGGAGTTTTAGTGCTTGGCACTTGGAATGGAGAACCACAGGCTGCAGTGGGAGGTTCCCGGAGGATCCACGTTCCTGGCACTCACCTCAGTGCTTGGTGAGCTGGAAGGTGGGTTTGGGCATTTCTTTCCCTGCAGGTGGCTCATTGTTAACCAGCAGCCACCTTGCCCCATAAGCTGGGTACACACTGTGTACTCAAGGGGACTCTCCGGGATTCAGGCGTGCATCTTTTTTTTTGAGATGGAGTCTTGCTCTGTCACCCAGGCTGGGGTGCAATGGCATGATCTCTGCTCACTACAGCCTCCGCTTCCCAGGTTCAAGTGATTCTCCTGCCTCAGCTTCCCAAGTAGCTGGAATTACAGGCACCCGCCACTGCACCAGGCTAATTTTTGTATTTACAGTAGAGACGGGGTTTCGCCATCTTGGCCAGGCTGGTCTCGAACTCCTGACCTCAAAATCCACCCGTTGGGCATGCATCTTTAACCCCAGATGCTGGAGACCAGTCTCCTCTTTTCTTATAATGGAAGGTTGGACATGGGAGATCCTGAGGGTCCGTGTCCCTGCTGTCATCCCCTATGGGTCACAGGTAATCTCCCAGAGTGTCATGTCACTCTGCTGAAGGGGACATGGTCCCAGAAGGAGCAGGAATTTGCTCGGGAACCCACAGCAGCCAGATTCCAGGACACACACTTTCTTGCTGGGGTCCCACCACTGCCCCATCCTGCCTGCCTACCAAGGGACAGCTCTGCCAGGCTGCTGCAAACCTTCAGCTGTCCAGGAAAGACCCCTACATTTGAAGGGAAGGAGGGAATTCACTGGGCAAGCCTTTCTGGAAGAAGCTACCATTTGAGCTAGGTTGATAAGATGGCCAGGTTTTTCCCAGGTGAAAAATGAGGTGGGTTCTCAAATAGTGGGACCTGCATTATAAAAAACGTGGCAGCAGGAAAGTTGAGGTCTCATTTAGGGAACTGCCAGCCATCTTCCGGAAGCTCCAGAAGCAGTGATGAGGCCAGGCAGAGAGCAGGAGTCCTGGGTGTAGGGTCAGAGGCACAGTGTTGAGCCTGTGAGTGAGTGACAGTGGGCACAGGTGACACCCACCTGTAGATGCGATACGCAGGATTCAGGAAGGCGAGGACAGCTTTGGCCTATCTGTTGGCCTCTGGCACGGCCTCATTAATGTGTGTCAGTGGCTCTTTAATCTTAACGGGGAGGTGCCAACCTATGCCCCTCTGGGCCCAAGTTCCAGCATCTGGTCTTTCCAAGTCAGGCCCTCCCCTATCTTGTCTCACATGAGATATCTGACCCATGGGGCAGGAGGGGACTCCTCATTGGCCACCCCCATCCCTCATGCCCACTGTGTGTACTGGGAGGTGGTCAGGCTTGGCCCTGCCCTTGGGAGCTCCCAGAGTCCTGGGCTTCCTGGAGGAAGGAACAGGCATGAGAATATTGAAAGAGGAATTTGAGGCCAGGCACCGTAGCTCACACCTGTAATCCCAGCACTTTGGGAGGCTGAGGCAGGTGGATCACCTGAAGTCAAGACCAGCCTGACCAACATGGAGAAACCCCATCTCTACTAAAAATACAAAATTAGCCAGGCATGGTGATGCATGCCTGTAATCCTCAGCTACTTGGGAGGCTGAGGCAGGAGAATCGCTTGAACCTGGGAGGTGGAAGTTGCATTGAGCCGAGACTGTGCCATTGCATTCCAGCCTGGGCGACAGAGTGAGACTCTGTTTCAAAACACACACACACACGCTCAAAAAGGGGAATTTGAGTTAGACATGAGGAAACACTGGAAATCCCACAAGGTCTGGCGTGAGGAGGCTCCACTGCCACTGAGACTGGATTTCTCCACTCTGCTGTCTCCGCCTGTCTGAGCAGCTCAGTACTCCCCATGTGTCTTGCCTGCCCATGGGCTCTTTACAGTGTGTATGAAAGCCTTTTGCAAGGTGGTACTGAAGCCCCCTGAAGGTCTCTGTCAAAAAAGAGGAGCTTTGTGTTCCTTAGATTCCTCTCTCGAAGCCCCGCAGCTCCCAAGTCACACAGGGCCAGGCTTTCCCCCATTTCACATACCAGGACACAAACGAAGGCCCCATGGGTGTGACAGGCCTGAGGCACACAACAAGTTGGTGGCCAAGCTTGGGAACAAACTTTTGGGTTAGACAACCCTGGGGCCTAGACCAGACCCCTTAGGAGCATCATCTCTGCCCCTCAGTTTCCTCATCTGTGAAGTGGGAGGGTCATGCCCCTGCCCCACAGGGATGTTGGGAGGATTCAGTGAGTGAATGTGCCCGGAGTGCCTAGTACAGAAGCACTTGGTAGATATTTGCTGTTATTAGTCAGTGTGGCCAGAGTGTATTTTCTGGGCCTGGCCCTGATAAGGGGGAGAGAAACCAGCAGCTGTGATGGGGTGAGTGGGGGTTGGAGCTGTGATGGGGAGGCCATGAGAGGAGCATCTGCCCAGGCTGGGGATCAGAGGAGGTTTGGGGGTATGGAAATCAGGGACGGAGGAGGGAAGAGTGTGGGGGCCCCAGTAGGGGGGCCTCTGGAGGAGACAGGGCTAGGCTGGGTCTTGGAGGTCCTTTTGGTATTGGGTAGCCCAAGATGGAGGCTGAGTCCAGGCTGAGAAAGCTATTTTGGGAACTGAAAGTCGGTCACTGTGGCCAGGGGGCGGTGTCTAGGGTGGTAGGAGCTTTGAGGCTGGAACCACCAACAGGCTTTGACATGAGGGGGTGGCGGGGCTGAGGAGAGGTGTGAAAAAGGCTACCCGGTTTCAGCTTGAGTCAGCAGGCAGGCCATGCAGGCAGGCTGGTGGGGAAACCACCACTGCCCCAGACTAGGGAGGATGGCCCCTGAGCCAGGGATGTCCAGGGCTGCCTCTCAGAGAGGTACAGGTGGGGTGGGTACAGCCACTGTCCCTGCCCCGTGACCCAGACACAGGTCAGATGACCCAGACATGGTGGGGGGGGCAAGGCAGGAGCAGTTAAGAGGCCAGGCCATCAGCTGAGCTGAAAGTTGGGGACACCCTGGGCTGACAGTACCAGCAAATCACTAGGGGTGGGCAGGCACATGGGGTCAGCCCTGCCCTTCCAGGCTAAAATCCAGAGATCTAGCCAGCCTGGCTTGTTGTGTGAGCGTGCAGCAGCTGCTCCTCGGTGTGGGAACCGAGGAGCAGGGCACCCCCTTTTGGCCCAGAGGTGGAGGGGCTGGCTCAGGAGGGTCCAGGTCTGGGGAGCCCTGAGGAGGGAAGGGGAGGGAGTCTGCATGGGGCCTCTGCAGGAGGCAGGCTGGGCTGGGTCACACAGATGGGGCCATATCAGGTCAGTGCACTGTCCGCCCTGGCCAGAATGGAGAAGGCAGCACTAGGTGACAGAAGTCAGAGGTGCCTGAGGGAGCTCAGTAGAGGAGGAGTTGAGGCTGGGAGCGGGGGCTTATGCCTATAATCCCAGCATTTTGGGAGGCCAAGGCGGCTGGATCACCTGGCCAACATGGTGAAACGCTATCTGTACTAAAAATACAAAAATTAGCTGGGCGTGCTGGTTGGCGCCCGTAATCCCAGCTACTTGGGAGGTTGAGGCAGGAGAATCCCCTGAACTTGGGAGGTGAAGGTTTCAGTGAGCCATGATCACACCACTGCATTCCAGCCAGGTCGACAGAGCGAGACTCCATCTCAAAAAAAAGAGTAGGGAGGAGATGCCTGGGCTGGGCCCTTCATAGGCTCTCACCCTTCAAGGCCAGAATTCAGCCCAGCCCCAGGAGGGGAATTGGGAGGCTGGGAGCATGGGAGTGGATGGACCCAGGCCCACAGGGCCAGGAAGGATGAAGGCCATGACCTTTGCTTGAGGAGGCATTTTCCCTGGAAGGAGGTGGGACCGGGGGTTCTGTCCATGCAGGACTAGAGGAGGGCAGGGGTGGGCAGAGGTTGTGGTCAGGGACCCCTCCTCCCCTCTGCGTGAGTGGCCCTGGCTGGCCCCAGGCCCAGGCTGGCGGGAAACCCCGCCCAGCCCTCACTGGCTCCTTCTTTCACAGGAAGGCCAGGCCCCTGACCCCAGCCCTGCCCTGGGCCCACCCACAGCTGCAGCCTCTCAACAGCCCCCTGGTGAGTGGTAGGAGTGGTGACCATCTCAGTTCAGGCTGCTCGAAAAGCCTGGACTGGGGACTTTCTGGGGGTGGCTGGGTGGTGGTTAGGGGGTGCCTTATCATCATCTCTGTCTGCAGGTAGGAGTCCCCCCTCGGAGGAGCCACCCCCAAGCCCAGGGGAGGAGGCTGGGCTGGTAAGGACAGCTAAGTGGGAGGAGCTAATGGGTGGGCACCTCCTAGGCAGGGCCTGGGCTGAGTCCACCCTGTTCTCTGCCCCTTTTCCAACCCCAGCAAAGGTTCCAGGACACAAGTCAGTATGTGTGTGCAGAGCTGCAGGCCCTGGAGCAGGAGCAGAGGCAGATAGATGGGCGGGCAGCTGAGGTGGAGAAGCAGCTGAGGAGCCTCATGGAGTCAGGTGGGGCAGGCATCTGGGGGTCCCCTCCCCAACACATGCCACTAGGTCTGCCCAGCCCTGCAGCTGTTCCTGACCTTGGGAGGAGCTGGGAGGAGGCACAGCTGGCGTCAGCACTCCCATTTTACAGCCAGGCATTCTGAGGCCTAGAAGTGGCTTCCTGGAGGCAGACAGTTCTTCTGGGATGTCACGAAAGCAAACCCCCTCCCCCAACTCCCAGCTGCCCTGCTCTGACACTGGGGGCAGGGGGCAGGCCTGGTGACTGTCCCTGCCCAATTCAGGTGCCAACAAGCTGCAGGAGGAGGTGCTGATCCAGGAGTGGTTCACCCTGGTCAACAAGAAGAATGCTCTCATCCGGAGGCAGGACCAGCTGCAGCTGCTGTGAGTGCTGGCCCAGGGCTAGGAGAGCAGAGGGACTCTCAGCTGTTTTGGTTAGGGTTGTTCACTGCTTTCTTCTTCTTCTTCTTCTTCTTTTTTTTTTTTGAGACGGAGTTTCACTCTTTTTGCCCAGGCTGGAGTGCAATGGCGCGATCTCGGCTCACCACAACCTCCGCCTCCTGGGTTCAAGCAATTCTCCTGCCTCAGCCTCCCGAGTAGCTGGGATTACAGGCACGCGCCACCATGCCCAGCTAATTTTTTGTATTTTTAGTAGAGACGGGGTTTCACCATGTTGACCAGGATGGTCTCATCTCTTGACCTCATGATCCACCCACCTCGGCCTCCCAAAGTGCCGGGATTACAGGCTTGAGCCACCGCGCCCGACCCACTGATTTCTTCTGTCTACAGAGATCTTTTTGACAAATTATTCCTCTTCCATCTTATTGTTTTTATCCTATCCAATTTGCTGTTTAAAGTATAAAACTGGCCGGGTGTGGTGGCTCACACCTGTAATTCAAGCCCTTTGGAGACCAAGGTGGGTGGATCACCTGAGGTCGGGAGTTCAAGACCAGCCTGACCAACATGGTGAAAACCCGTCTTTAAAAAAAAAAAATAAAGTATAAAACTAGACTGGCTGTGACAGCTTATGCCTGTAATTCCAGCACTTTCAGGCAGATCACCTGAGGTCAGAAGTTTGAGACCAGGCCGGGCGCGGTGGCTCACGCCTGTAATCCTGGCACTTTGGGAGGCCGAGGCGGGTGAATCACAAGGTCAAGAGATCGAGACCATCCTGGTCAACATGGTGAAACCCCGTCTCTACTAAAAATACAAAAAATTAGCTGGGCATGGTGGCGCGTGCCTGTAATCCCAGCTACTCAGGAGGCTGAGGCAGGAGAATTGCCTGAACCCAGGAGGCGGAGGTTGCGGTGAGCCAAGATCGTGCCATTGCACTCCAGCCTGGGTAACAAGAGCAAAACTCCGTCTCAAAAAAAAAAAAAAAAAGTTTGAGACCAGCCTAATACAATGAAACCCCATCTCTACTAAAAATACAAAAATTAGCTGGGCATGGTGGCACATACCTGTAATCCCAGCTACTCGGGAGGCTGAGATAGGAGAATAGCTTGAACCCAGGAGGTGGAGGTTGCAGTGAGCGAAGATCATGCCATTGTACTCCAGCCTGGGCAACCAGCATTTTTTTAAACTTCGTCTCAAAAAAAAAAAAAAAAAAAAAAAGTAAAACTTGCCAGGCATAATGGCTTACACCTGTAATCCCAACACTTTGGGAAGTTGAGGCAAGCGGGTCACCTGAGGTTAGGAGTTCAAGACCAGCCTGGCCAACATGGTGAAACTTTGTCTCTACTAAAAATACAAAAATTAGCCAGGTGTGGTGGCACGTACCTGTAATCCCAGCAACTTGGAAGGCTGATGCAGGAGAATCACTTGAACCTGGGAGGCGGAGGTTACAGTGAGCTGAGATCAGGCCATTGCACTCCAGCCTGGGTGACAAAGTGAGACTCTGTCTAAAAATATAAAAATTAAAAAAAGTAATTGTAAAACTCTTAAATTATAACTATTTTTACTAATAAGAAAACCAGGCCGGGCACAGTGGCTCATGCCTGTAATCCCAGCACTTTGGGAGGCCAAGGCAGGCAGATCACCTGAGGTCAGGAGATCGAGACCATCTTGGCCAACATGTGAAATTCCATCCCTACTAAAAATACAAAAAAATTAGCTTGGCGTAGTTGTGCATGCCTGTAGTCCCACCTACTCGGGAGGCTGAGGCAGGAGAATTGCTTGAACCCAGGAGGGGAAGATTGTAGTGAGCCAAGATCGTGCCACTGCACCACAGCCTGGGTGACAGTGCGAGACTCCATCTCAAAAAAGAAAAGAAAAAAAAAGAAAGAAAACCAAGGCCCAGAACAAAATTAGGCCCAGGAAGGTGAAGGCCGAATTCCCGTGTGACACTGTTTCTTTACAGTAAGGAAAACAAGCCCAGAGGGATGTGATCTAGTTCCTGGTGGGGTCAGAAGCCACTCTGCGACATTGCCTTAGCATCCTGCCAGGCGGAGGTGGCGGTGGCTCCCTTTTCAGTTTGTGATCCTTTTTCAGAATCACTGGAGCCCAATACTTCCTATCTAGGAATACTGTTCATCCAAGTACTCCCTCGGGGGTCCTTCTGGGGTGCGTGTGGGGCAACACAAACACCAGCAATTGGAGAAAACAGTTCGAAGAAAAGAGAGAATGTGGTCTGGGGACTGGAGGATAGCTCTGTGGTCAGCCCTGCCTTCTGTGGGAGCCGCTGGGAAGGTGGGATGGGGCCAGAGCCCTGGGCACTCCCTCCCTGCGCCCCTTTTCCTGACCTGCTTACCCGCCACCTTCCAGCATCGAGGAGCAGGACTTGGAGCGCAGGTTTGAGCTGCTGAGCCGCGAGCTGCGGGCCATGCTGGCGATCGAAGGTGGGACCTGAGCCTAGGGGGCGGGAGGCAGGACATAGCCAGGGTAGAGGCGGCACAGCACCGGGCCGGCGCCTCCTGACGCTTTGCCGCTTCGGCCCTCAGACTGGCAGAAAACGTCTGCGCAGCAGCACCGAGAGCAGCTCCTGCTGGAGGAGCTGGTGTCGCTGGTGAACCAGCGCGACGAGCTGGTCCGGGACCTGGACCACAAGGAGCGGATGTGAGTGGCGCTGGGAGTTGGGAGGGTCTAGGGCGCGCTCCCGCAGAGGGCTGGATGTGGACCCCGCCCGACGCCGCGCTGACTCGAACCCATTCCCCGTAGCGCCTTGGAGGAGGACGAGCGCCTGGAGCGCGGCCTGGAGCAGCGGCGCCGCAAGCTGAGCCGGCAGCTGAGCCGGCGGGAACGCTGCGTGCTGAGCTGAGGCCGCCGGCCCGGATGCTGTGCGTGTCCGCTAGGGGCCGCTGGCGCCCTTCCCGGGACAGGGCAGGGCGGATCGCCGCCTGCGGCTGGGCGGCCGTCGTATTTATTTGTCGCCGAGTGTGTGTGCACGCTCGCGGCGGGTGCGGGCACCTCCCCGATGGCACGGCCGGGCCAGCGGCCCCGGGGAGAGGGATGCCTGGGGGCTGCCGCCCTGTGCCGGCTCTCCCTCCTGTTCTCCAAAGCAGTAAAGTTGGACTAGGCTACCCCAGCGTCGGCCTTTTCTCCGCTCCACCTGGGCTCTCAAAGGGCGGAGGAGGGTGGGCCGAGGCTGAGACGGCTCTGCCATCCTAAGCGGGACGATGCGGCTTTGGGGTTCCCAGGGCCAGCGGAGACTAGACACTAGACGTCGGCCTTCCTGGGATGGGATGGTGGCCGGTGGCTCTGTCCCATTCGAAAGACTTGAAAAGAACCGAAGTCGTTGCTCATTTTATGATTAACACTTATTCCCTGAGGCCTCCCGCTCACCCTGCCGGCCAGATTTCCAGATTCTTCCCCAGCCACTCCTGGCTGCTTCCTCCTCCCGGCTGCCACCGGCACCATACTGGAGCTGAACTCGGTCACCTCACGCTTCAGCAAGCAGGGACCTGTCCTGAAGCTGGGGCCGCCGGTGGCAGGGTGCTCAGAGCCAGTTCATCCTGCTGTAGGATGCCACCTTGGTCTGCAGCAGTCACAGGGCCACAGGGCCTGAAGAACTTCTCCACGGCACGGACCTGTGGCAGCTTGGAAAAGGCCTCAACAGCCAGCAGCATGGCCAAGAGTCCTAGAAGCAAGTAATCTGGGGAGGAGAAGGTGCCGGGGCAGTGCCCGGTGCTGGTGATGCTCCCTTCCCACCTTTGGGCACGGTGACCTGCCCTGGCAGCTGGCGCCACTCACCCTCCCACACACTCTGCCACCAGAGCTCCTCAGCTACCCCTCCTGTACGTGCCCTGGAGTGGGGTCCCTCTACCTGCAAGGCCCAGTCCCCCAGTGATTCATGGGAATCCTAGTCCCTGCTCCTCTTCCCACTTTCCCCACACACTCTTAGGCGGCAGACTTACCAAGAAGTGCAAGCTGGCGCACGTGGTAAATCATGGGGTGCAGGCCGTGGCCGTGGCTGGGCAGGAGGTTCCCCAGGCCAATGGTGCTGAGCGAGCTGAAGCAGAAGTAGATGGCCCCCAGCAGGCTGCTGTCACCCTGAAGGCCCCACAGCACGAGCGCTGGCAGCAGCACAAAGAAACTGCCTGCAGCAGGATAGCCCTGGCTGGCGACAGCTGCCAGTGGACCACTACCCAGCTACCCAGGCGGCTGAGCACAGGCAGCAGGCAGTGGTATAGGGTGGCCACTAGAGAGCTAGGGAGGCTGGCAGCCCCAGGGCTGCATAGACCACACAGAAGGCCCTTCCGCCTGCCGATAGTGGGGCCATGTGGCCATAACCTGGAGAAGAGAGAGTCAGTGAACTGCCAGAGCTCTGAGTGTGATGTCTGCTGGGTCCCTGCCTACCGCAATACCACCTTCCACAGAAGGCTGCCCTCTAGTGGCCCGGAACTGGCCAGGCCCAGGTTATATCTGGCTCTGCTTCTCCTTCACCAGGGCATCCTGGGCCAGTCCCTTACCCTCTCTGGGCCACTCTTCTCTTTTCTGGAAAATAAAAGGATGAGGCCAGGTGTTGTGGCTCACGCTTATAATCCCAGCACTTTGGGAGGCTGAGGCGGGTGGATCACGAGGTCAGGAGTTCGAGACCAGCCTGGCCAACATAGTGAAACCCCATCTCTACTAAAAATACAAAAAAAAAAAAAAAAATTAGCCAGGGTGGTGGCACACTCTTGTAGTCCCAGATAGGAGGCTGAGGCAGGAGAATTGCTTGAACCTGGGACTTGGAGGTTGCAGGGAGCTGAGACCATGCCATTACACTCCAGCTTGGGCGACAGAGCAAGACTCCATCACAAGAAAGAAAAAAAAGTCTTAGTTTGTATGAACAATTTTGGAGGATTAAAAAAAAAAAAAGATGAAAGAAGACAGTTCCCCAGGCCTTTTGTAGCTGGGACAATTCAGAGAACTGGGCTGCCCTTAACAGATATTCCTGATTCCACAGCTGGTGGAGTATCATCCACTCCTTCCCCAAACGTGTGTCACATTCTGTGTGCTAGGCTTTGTGCTAGGATCTGAGTCTGCCCAGGCCCTGCCCTCCAGTGGAGGAGTCAGGCAGGAAAATAATGAAGGGCTGCTGCAAAGAGACAGCATGGGGAGAGAGGGCATGTGCCAGGTGGAGAGGGGCGGGAGTGCAGGGTATTCGGGGAGAACAGGATCAGCTAGTCCAGAGCTGCAAATGCACAGGCCCACCAGAGCCAGATGGGAGACAAACAGGAATGGTGGGGACTGGGGTGCACTGAAGAGTGTGAGCTGTACCCAAAGGGCAGGCCCTATTCCACTCTGGTCAGTACGTTACCTTGCAGGGATTCTGGCTCAGTGTGAGAAGGTTTCCTGATTTTCTGAAAGAAGCTGGAAATATGGGCTGGGCACAGTGGCTTACACCTGTAACCCCAGCACTTTGGGAGGGGGAGGTGGACAGATCACTTGAGGTCAGGAGTTTGAGACCAGTGGGGCCAACGTGGCAAAACCCTGTCTCTACTAAAAATACAAAAATCAGCCGGGCGCGGTGGCTCACGCCTGTAATCCCAGCACTTTGGGAGGCTGAGGTGGGTGGATCACGGGGTCGAGATCAAGACGATCCTGGTCAACATGGTGAAACCCCGTCTCTACTAAAAATACAAAAATTAGCTGGGCACGGTGGCGCGTGCCTGTAATCCCAGCTACTCAGGAGGCTGAGGCAGGAGAATTGCCTGAACCCAGGAGACAGAGGTTGCAGTGAGCCGAGATCGCGCCATTGCACTCCAGCCTGGGTAACAAGAGCGAAACTCCATCTCAAAAAAAAAAAAAATTCGCCGGGCGTGGTGCTGCACCCCTGTAGTCCCAGCTACTCAGGAGGCTGACGTAGGAGAATTGCTAAAACCCGGGAGGCGGAAGTTGCAGTGAGTCGAGATTGCACCACTGCACTCCAGCCTGGGTGACAGCGAGATTCCTGTCTCAAAAAAAAAAAAAAGTTGGGAATACAAATATAGAAATTCCAATTCAAAAAATACTGAGATGCTTTGTGGGATAAATATACAAAAACCCAGGGTTGTGGGTCCCGCTGTCGTTTTTCCCTGGGCCTGTGCCCACGCTGTTTCTCTGCAGGACTCCCTTGTCCCTGTCTCTGCACCCTCCTGCTTGGCAACCATGTCATGCCGACTTCCTCCCGTCTTCCCTCACTCCTCCTCCACCCAAGGCCTTGGGACTGATCTGTGCTTCCCAGGTTCCTTCTGTTTGCTTCCCTTCAAGAATCCATCCCACTGTATTGTGTCCCCTGCCTTGTCTCAGGCTGTGGTGTCTGGGCACCTCTCCTGGGTCTCAGAGGGTGCCTGGGGTGGGGCTGGGGTGGCCACACCCTTCCTGGCAGCTGAAAGGGAGGTACCAGTTGGGGTGTGTTGGTGGGGAGCCCCAGGGGTGATGTTGGGACTGACAGGGCCTGGGCTCCATCTGGCTCTTTGGGGCTAAAGGGCTGTACCCCAGGGTCCCCCCAGGGAGCCATGGCCTCAAGAGCCCCTCCCCCTGGGCTTCCTGGCTTTCTTACCTGTGGTGGAGAGGATGCTGGCAGTGAAGAGCAGGGCTGAGGGCAGGTCCCAGTTGCTGGCCTCTGAGCTGTTGCCCAGGTTGGAGACCCCATGGGCCTGGGTGGCCAGGGCAGTGCCCAGCAGCTCTTCCAGTACTCCGGGTGGCAGGCAGGCTCCATGCTTGGCCTGGAAAGCAGCCAGCTCTGCCCTGAGCTCAGCCTGGAGCCTGTGTGCCGGAGGCCCCTCCAGGGCCTGGAACACTGTGGCCCCAAGCCCCAGGGCCAGCAAGTGGCCCACAACTAGCAGCCCGTATCGGGCCCAAGGCCTTAGACCCCCACATGGCGGGCCGCTGGGCTGCTGTGGGAGCTGGTGCCTCCACCTCAGGCACCTGGGAGGGGCTGGGCAGGGCGGGGCCAGGAGGAGTTGCTGCGTGGGTAGCTGGGAGCTGGTTGGGGCAGCTGAGGTGTGAACGGGAGGGAGGTGAGCTGCATCACCCCTCCCAGGTTCTGGGGGTAAGACATTTGCCCATTTCACAGCAGCTGGGACAGTGGGGACAGGTGGAGGAAGGTGGCTGCAGTGAGGCGAGGAGGCAGAGGAAGCTGAGGCCTAGAGAGTGCCTCACACTTATTCAAGATGGTGCTCAGATACCCATACCGCTACCGCATTCATTCATTCATTCATTCAGCAAGTGCTTAGGTCCTAGGACTCCAGGGAAGAGGACAGGCAGAGGTCCTTTCCCTCCTGGTGTTTACACAGGAAACCTCTCAGCAAAGAAACGTGACAAGCTCTCATATTGTCATGAGTCCCGTGCAGGAACGCCCTGGGTGATGGGAGAGCCCTGGGGGAGGGGTTTATCTCACTGGGAAGGCTCTGCTGAGGAGGTGACATTGCAGCTGGGGAGTAAAAGGCCTGTGAAGGTAGGAAGGAGCCTGGGGTGTGAGAGGGACAGAGGGCTGGCTATGGCGGGGGACAGTGAGGGATGGGGGGGGATAAGGACATGGGCACTTGAGGACAAGCATAGTCCAGGGAGACCTATACTGGCTACTACAGGCGTCCTGGATGGAGCCATTTTGGCCTGGGTGGTGGGGTGGGAGGGGAATGGTGGCAGCTGGGAAGGATTGGGTGGGGGCAGGGGTGGGAGGCAAGGAGAGGAATTCAGCGTGCCCAGAGCACTGCGGCAGGCAATACCCTTGAGCCCCATTGCCAGTCCTTCCTGAGAATCCTTTATGCCTGCCCTCCTGACATTACCTGCCCTGAACTGCAGACAGAGTTCTGGGGCAGGGGAAGGGGGAACCTGGGTTCCAACTCCTCTAACCTCAGAGGGGCTAAGAACAGAGGCCGAGGGAGGGACCCTGCCCTAGGGTATGGTATAGGAGTGCCAGACCCCCCATGGCAGTGTGAAGAGAACTGTCAGGGTGCTAGGTGCTATGGTGAGTCACTATACTGGGAGGTGGGTGGACCTTAATACTTTTTTCTTCTGAGATGATGTCTTGATCTGTTGCCCAGGCTGGAGTGCAGTGGCGCAAGTTTGGCTCACTGCAACCTCTGCCTTCTGGGTTCAAGCAATTCTCCTGCCTCAAACTCCAGAGTAGCTGGGACTTCAGGAATGTACCACCTTGCCTGGCTAGGTTTCACCATGTTGCTCAGGTTGGTCTCGAACTCCTGACCTCAGGTGATCCATCGGCCTCAGCCTCCCAAAGTGTTGGGAATACAGGCGTGAGCCACCACACCTGGCCAGGAAGGGCCCTGAATGACTGACCAGGACTGGTGGATTTGGTCCCAGGAGAGGGATGCAGTGCCACGCATGCAAACGTCCATTGCTGGGGCATCAGGAGTCCAGGGTTGTGTGACAGGTTGGATCTCCTGCTTACCTCCAAGAAAGGTGACAGGCTATATGTGGGGAGACAGCTTTTGAGTTTATTTGGCTTCTGGCTTCATTGGTTCCCGAGGCTAAGACCCTTACCCTGGCTGGGGCAGCAGGAAGGCACCCGGAGAGTCCTGGCCCCGATGACCCCCAGGGCAGGAGGTCCAGGCTCTAAGCCCTAGGGCAGGGGCCAGCAGCAGGACTTAGTCAAAAGTGCTGGTGACAGCTGAGGCCGGCCCCTCTCCCCTGCACCTCTCCTCCTCCCTGCATCACCTCTGGGGGCAATTCCCTGAGACAGGCTCTGGTCCTCCCAACCAGTTGGGTACAGTGTTGGGCCCCAGTAGGGCAGGTGAGCTGGGGAGACCCACAGGTTGCAGGTGTGGGGGTGCAGGCCCCCCATCCAGTGTGAAGGCTTCCTGTGCAGTGTAGTGTTCCTGACCCCCAAAGGGGGTGTGGGGTCCCTGGGGAAACTGAGGCAGCTGCAGAGGCTGGCCCAGCTCCTGTTCCAGTGTATACTGACTCCTCTAAGGCAGCTGGAGCTTGGGGGAGTGGCCTGGCCCACTCAAGGCCCTGCCTCCGGCACCCAAGGGGCCTGGGCACCCATGTCTTTGGTCTGTGCCCTGCAGTCCTGGGGCCCCCCCCGGAAGGGGTTGGCTGGTGGGGAGTCCCAGAAGGGGTCTGAGTCCGGGAACAAGGTCCAGGGTGCCCGGCGGGGTGCAGGCTGTGGTGAAGGCAGTGGAGAAGGCCGTGGCCCAGCCGACACAAAGCTCCAGGGATCTATGCGGCTGCGAAGGGGTGAGGGCCGAGGTCGGCTGATGAGGCCCAGGGGTGGTGAACGTGGGGTGCCTGGGGTACCAGGAGCAGAGCGTGATGTCCCCGGTGGGGGTGAGACAATGCCTCCTGTGAGGATATAGGAGGGGCACAGGGTCAGGCAGCCACCAACTCCTAAGGTCCCCAAGACACACTACCCTGCTCTGGGCCTCAGTTTCCCCATCTGCACAGTGAGCGACTTGACTCAACTTCCATGGCCTTTCCTGTTCCTTGGTGCCTCTGTTTTTCTGTGATGGTTAGGAGTGACGCCTCTGTAGCAGGCTGGCCTGGATGTAGATCCCAGCCCTGCCACTTACTAGTTGTGGGTTTCTTCATCTTTGTGCCATAAATTCCCTCATCTAAAAATGGGCATCTGGCTGGGCACGGTGGCTCATGCCTATAATCCCAGCACTTTGGGAGGCTAAGGTGGGCAGATCAGGTCAGGGATTTGAGACCAGCCTGGCCAATATAGTGAAACCCTGTCTCTACTAAAAATACAAAAAATTAGCTGGGCGTGGTGGTGGGCACCTGTAATCCCAGCAACTCGGGAGGCTGAGGCAGGAGAATTGCTTGAACCCGGGAGGTAGATGTTGCAATGAGCCGAGATCGCACCACTGCACTCCAGGCCTGGTGGTGGTTCGAAACACTGTCTCAAAAAAAAAAAGGGGGGGGGCATCTAAGGGCACTTACTTCACTGGTTGTTAGGACTGAATGAGACCATCTCTGGAAAACCTTGCAAACAGTACCTGGCACAAGCAAGAAACCAGAAATTTGCTACTATTATGACTATACATATACTTTTTATTGGTTTTTTTTGAGACGGGGTCTCGCCCTGTCACCAGGCTGGAGTGCAGTGGCACGATCCCGAGCTCTTGATCCCTGGGTTCAAGCAATTCTCCTGCTTCAGTCTCCTGAATAGCTGGGACTACAGGCATGTGCCACCATGCCCAGCCAATTTTGTATTTTTAATAGAGACAGGGTTTCACCATATTGGCCGGGATGAGAGCATTCTGATCTCTTGACCTCGTGATGTGGCTGCCTCTGCCTCCCAAAATGCTGGATTACAGGCGTGAGCCACCGCACCGGCACTTTTTTTTCTTTTTAGACAGTCTTTCTCTGTCACCCAGGCTGGAGTACAGTGGCACGATCCTGGCTCACTGCAACCTCCGCCTCCTGGGTTCAGGCAATTCTCTGATTTTAGCCTCTCAAGTAGCTGGGATTACAGGTGTGCACCACCATGCCCGGCAAATGTTTTGTACTTTTTTTTTTTTTTGAGATGGAGGTTAGCTCTGTCACCCAGGCTGGAGTGCAGTCAAGGGATTTTGGCTCACTGCCACCTCCGCCTCCTGGGTTCAAGCAATTCTCTGCCTCAGTCTCCCAAGTAGCTGGGATTAAAGGCGCCTGCCACCACGCCCAGCTAATTTCTATATTTTTAATACAGATAGGGTTTCACCATCTTGGCCAGGCTGACTTCAACTCCTGACCTTGTGATCCACCCACCTCGGCTTCCCAAAGTGCTGGGATTACAGGCATGAGCCACTGCGCCTGGCTATGTTTTGTACTTTTAATAGAGATGGGGTTTTACCATGTTGGCCAGGCTGATCTTGAACTCTTGATTTCAAGTGATCCGCCTGCCTTGGCCTTCCTAAGCACTGAGATTACAGGCGTGAGCCACTGTGCCCAGCCTAAAATACATGCATACATACATATACATACGTGTGTGTGTGTGTGTGTGTATATATATATATACATACACATATACATTTTTTTTTTTTTTTGAGAGTCTCACTTTTACCAGGCTGGAGGACAGTGGTGGGATCTTGGCTCACTGCAACCTCTGCCTCCTGGGTTCAAGCAATTATCCTGCCTCAGCCTCCTGAGTAGCTGGGATTACAGGCAAGTGCTACCATGCACAGCTAAGTTTTGTATATTTAGTAGAGACAGGGTTTTGCCATGATGGCCAGGATGGTCTTGATCTCTTAACCTTGTGATCCACCTGCCTTGGCCTCAAAAAGTGCTGGGATTATAGGCGTGAGCCACCGTGCCCGCCCAATATATATATATATATATATTTTTTTTTGAAACAGGGTCTGGCTCTGTTGCCCAGGCTAGAGTGCAGTGTCGTGATCACAGCTCACTGCAGCCTCAACCTTTCCAGGCTCAGGTGATCCTCCTGAAGTGCTGGGATCACAGGTGTACACCACTGCCTGGCCTTGATTATTTCTGTTATTTCACAGCAGACATCATCCATCCCCGCCTCCCTGGACCACCTGATGGCTGAATTTAGAACTCTGCTCCCTACATGCGTCTTCAGTACCCGAGCACCTGGTTCAGAGTCCAGCAGATGACTGTGGTCTGGGCCTTACCTCCTTGCATGTCCCCACCAGCCACTCCTCCCTTCCTGGGGACCCCCATCTCTCATCCGAGCAGCAAGCAGGCCTCAGGCAACTCACCTCGGGGCTCCTCTTCGCGTCGGGGGCTCTTGGCTGACCGCTGGCCCACAGGGACACCCAGGTCCAGCAGCAGGGGTGCAGGAGCAGGTGGGGTATTGGGCGTCTTGGGCGAGAAGCAGATGAGTGAGGAAGGGGGTGGCCCTGGTGGGCAGGGCACAGGTGCTGGCGTGGGGGGTGTTGTTGGGGGCTCCCCTCGCTCACGGCCAGGGCCTCCTTGTGGCTGTAGGTCTCGGCCAAGGCCCAACGAGGCAAGCAGGGCAGTGCCACGCAGCAGAGCACGCTGGATCAGCTTGGGCGTTCCAGAACTGCTACCGCGCTCTGCGGAGCTGGGCCTCTTAGGCTCCTCGGGTTCTGGGCTTGGCCTCGGGGGGTTACCTGTGGGTGGAGGCAGCACAGGTGAGGATGTGGCCAGTGCAGCTTCTGGGTGAGGGACCAGGACTTCTCCATGGTCTTGGAACAAGGACTATCAGCATCTTCCCTGGTCCCACAGCCTCCCTGTCACACATACCCACATTCTGGCCTTCCACAAGATGGGAACTGGCAGGGGAGGGCAGTGCAAGCAGAGGAAGTGGCAATAAAGCCCAGTGGCAACCAGCAACCCCAGACCCCAAAGATGGATGGGCAGTCCCAGTGGAGGCAGGCTGGAGCCAGGTCCAGGTGAATCTCAATGGCCTGCCAGGGTCAACCTCCAGGCCCAGGGGACTGGGACCAGCTGCTTCTTGACTTGGCAGCCCTGCCCCTTCTGCCCACCCACCCTCACTCCAGCTGTAGCTTGTAGGGTGCACATGGTCAACTCCAAGGTACACGACAGCCCTCAGGGGCACAAATCCCTGTCCCTATTCTGGAAAGGAGGAAAATTAGGTTCAGAGGGGTCAGTAACTTGCCCAAGGTCACCGCTAATTTACAAAGTATGTATTTGTGCCAGGCCTAAGCTGAATGACATCGGGGCATTATGTTGTCTGATCCTCACAGCCCAGTGGTTCCAGGCTCAGAGAGGTTGAAGGCTGTGTGAGGCTGAACAGCCAGAGAGGTAGAGCCGGCTCCACCCCAGGCAAGGGCAATAGAGCCTTTGCTCTCCACCATTTCCCAACCAGACTCTGCCTTAGATTTCAAGACATGAGGGTCCCACCTTCCAATTTAGGGTTGGCCTGACTCCATTCTAGATCACTTGGGCAGTGTTGGGAAGCCCATTAAGGTAGGGGACCTCTAGGATGGCCTCCCACAAGCCCTGATTTTGTCAGATCCCACCTTGGCTCTAGAATCTGCTTGGCTCTCCACTGCCATTAGAAGAAAGTCTGGCCTCCTTGGCTGGTCTTCTGAAGCCCTCCCTGGCCTTGTCCCTCTGCCTTTCCCCCACTGCCTGGAGCACAACAGTTGGCTGGATGCTGGGAAGAAAAATACAAGGCTGGGCTCTGCCATGAACCAGGCCTCGGCTCACAGTCCCTTTTGTCAGTCCCAAGGCTTACTTAGACCCTCTGCTTTTTTTTTTTTTTTTTTTTGAGACGGGAGTCTCCCTCTGTCGCCCAGGCTAGACAGAGTGCAGTGGTGTGACCTCAGCTCACCGCAATCTCTGCCTCTCAGGTTCAAGCGATTCTCCTGCCTCAGCTTCCTGAGCAGCTAGAGTTACAGGCTCACGCCACCACGCCTGGCTAATTTTTTGTACTGTTAGTAGATGGGGTTTCACCATCTTAGCTAGGATGGTCTCGATCTCCCAACCTTGTGATCCACTCGCCTCACCCTCCCAGCAGGGCTGAGCTACCGCACCCAGCCAACTCTCTGCCTCTTATCTCACCCCACTCCCACCCTTGGCCACTGCCAATGAAGGGCCAAGGGAATCCTTCTAAAATGCAAACCTGCTGAAGACAGGTCTCTGCTTAAAAACTACCTATCACTTCCAGCTTCATTCACTCATTCATTCAATAAACATCTACTGACCCGTGTGCCCTGGCCCTTGCCTGAAGCCCCAGTTCAGAGACTCCTTGGCTCTCAACTCTTCTCTGAGTTCAGCCAGGTTTCCTTTTCCTTGGGTCTCATGAGCTGCATGCGGGCACACACTATATACTCTGGCTGGCTGACCTTCCCCACCTCAGCTTTCAGTGACTTTTTTTTTTGAGATGGGAGTCTCACTCTGCCGCCCAGTCTGGAGTGCAGTGGTGCAATCTTGGCTCACTGCAACCTCCACCTCCCGGGTTCAAGTGATTTTCCTGCCTCAGCCTCCCAAGTAGCTGGGATTACAGGCACCTGCCACCATACCTGGCTAATTTTGTATTTTTAGTGGAGACGGGGTTTCACCATGTTGGCCTGGCTGGTCTCAAACTCCTGACCTCAGGTGATCTGCCCGTCTTGGCCTCCCAAAGTGCTGAAATTACAGGCATGAGCCACCATGCCCGGCCTCAGTGACCTCTTACACACTATCCAAGACCCACTGGGATGTCACTTCTTCTGTGAAGCCTTCCTAGAATCTCCCTGAACCTGTGCAGTTATTGCTCATGTTATGCCTCATAGGAGCTACTGGACTTATGAGTCTGCCTCCTTCATCGAAGGAGGTTAGGGCAGTGTTTCTCTTTAACACGTCTGATGCCTGGCTCTCAAAATGCAAATCCTTGTTTGAGGAAGAATCCATTCTTATAATTATTGCACCAACTACATGAGGTTAGCATTATCACCCGCATTTCACAGTTGAAGAGGATAATTTACAGTGAGTTTAAACGGAAAGGGGAAAAAGAATGTTTAAAAAAAAAAGTAAGAGATGCTGGGAGCAGTGGCTTATACTGGTAATCCCAGCACTTTGGGAGGCCAAGGCGGGCAGATCACTTGAAGTCAGGAGAGTTCCAGACTAGCCTGGCCAACATGGTGAAACCGTCTCTACTAAAAACACAAAAATTAGGCTGGACATGGTGGTTCGTGCTCATAATCCCAGCACTTTGGGGAGCTGAGGCAGGTGGGTCACTTGAGGGACACACTGGTTCATGCTCATAATCCCAGAACTTTGGGGAGCTGAGGCAGGTGGGTCACTTGAGGTCAGTAGTTCAGGACCAGCCTGGCCAACATGGTGAAACCCAGTCTCTACTAAAAATACAAAAATTAGCCAGGCATTGTGGCGCATGCCTGTAATCCCAGCTACTTGGGAGGCTGAGGCAGGAGAATCACCTGAACCCGGGAGGTAGAGGTTGCAGCGAGCTGAACTGAGTTACTGCACTCCAGCCTGGGTGACAGAATGACACTTTGCCTAAAAAAAAAAAAAAAAACTAGCTGGGCATGGTGGTACACACCTGTAATCCTAGCTACTGGGGAGGCAAGGCAGGAGAATCGCTTGAACCTGGGAGGTGGACGCTGAAGTGAGCAGAGGTCATACCACTGTACTCCAGCCTGGGTGACAGAACAAGACTCCATCTCAAAAAAAAATTAATTAATTTAAAAAAGCAAGAAAAGGCCAGGTGTGGTGGCTCACAGCTGTAATCCCAGCGCTTCGGGAGGCTGAGGTGGGGAGAATGCTTAAGCCCAGGAGCTCAAGACCAGCCTGGGCAACACGGCAAAACCCTGTCTCTACAAAAGATACAAAAACTAGCCAAGCATGGTGATGTGTACCTGTAGTCCCAGCTACTCAGGAGGCTGAGGCTGGAGGACTACTTGAGACTGGGAGGTGGAGTGTGCAGTGAGCCATGATCATGCCATTGTATTCCACCCTGGGTAGGAGACCCTGTCTTATAAAAAATAAAATGAATTGGGTGTGGTGGCTCATGCCTGTAATTCCAGCACTTTGGGAGGCCGACGCAGGCGGATCATGAGGTCAAGAGATGGAGACCATCCTAACATGGGGAAACCTTGTCTCTATTAAAAATACAAAAGTTAGCTGGGCATGGTGGCACGTGCCTGTAGTCCCAGCTACTCAGGAGGCTGAGGCAGAGAATCGCTTGAACCTGGGAGGTGGAGGTTGCAGTGAGCCAAGATCACGCCACTGCACTCCACCCTGGGAGACAGAACAAAACTCTGTCTCAATAAAAAAGAAAAAGAAATAAATAAAAAATAAAAGGGAGAAATGAGACGAAGAGATGAGAAAAGATAGGGTCTAGCAGACAAAATGAGAGTGAACAGAGCTTCCTGCCATCAATGGCCTGAGAAACTGAGGTTCTGAAGGGCAAGTGACTTGTTCAAGGTAATTCAGCTAGAATCTGAATTTGCCTCTAAGCTTCCTGGCAGCAAGAATTAGCAACCTGGTTGTTTAGGAGAAAGCAGCATGACTCTTACTGACCCAAAGACAGACACGAAACTGCTTCTGTGGGGCAGTTTCTGATGAGAAGAGACCATGGAGAGGGCATGGCCATGAAGTTATTGGCTCCAAGGCAACAAGCTTCACAGGGCAGCTGCTGTCAGTGTAGCTGAGTACGCCCTGCCCATGTGCCCCTCCTTGCAACCAGCTCTTCAGGGGCCAGAAAAGCCCACTGGGACAGGGTGTTGCGGGGCGGGGTGGGGGCGGTACTGTGGTTCTCCAGTGGTGTGGCTTATGCTTGGGACCATCTCAGAGGGTTTGGGACCTCTGTGAGGCCCCATTCTTTGATTCTTAGCTGGGTTTCTGTGGGTGGCTGTGAGGTCAATGTCATGGTGTACTCTCATGGACCCAGATGGTGCGCTGAGTGTGGGACTGGGCTAGGGGAACCATGTGCTCAGCCAGCCACTGAGCTGGGGCAGCTCACAGTCCTTTCAGGTAAAGGGGCAAGCAGCAATCCATTTCTTCATCAGCCAGGAAGGGCACTGGTGCCGAGGCTGACACACCTATCAAAAACAGTGACTGCCATGGTCTCCAGTGCTTTCAGGAAACCCCAGACGGGTGGCCTTCTGGCCGCACACCTGCAGTTTCATATTGGGGAAGCATTCGTTGTGTCCCTGGGGGCTGCAGCTCTGTTTGCTGTGGCTGAATGGAGAGAGAAGGCATACACAGAGTTCATGGAAGTTATGATGCCATGAAGTATTTCAAGGAGATGAGGAAGGCTGGTATCGCTCAGAATGCAAAATGATTTTCAAATATAAAGAATTTCTTTGAGTTAATGACTTAGAATTCTGTCACTGATGTGAACTATTCATGAATATATGGGCTAAAAAACAGTTTTTCTCGATAAATAATTAACAAATGCTTTGGCTGGGCGCGGTGGCTCATGCTTGTAATCCCAGTACTTTGGGAGGCTGAGGCGGGCGGATCACCTGAGGTCAGGAGTTCGAGACCAGCCAGCCTGGCCAACATGGTGAAACCCCATCTCTACTAAAAGTACAAAATTTAGCTGGGTGTGGTGACGTGCACCTGTAGTCCCAGCTACTCGGGAGGCTGAGGCACGACAACTGCTTGAACCCAGGCGATGGAGGTTGCAGTGAGCTGAGATCACACCACTGTACTCCAGCCTGAATGATAGTGAGACTCTGTCTCAAAAAAAAAAAAAAAAAAACTTTGGGAAAAAAAGAAAACCATGAGGCAAGCTTGAAAACAATGGGGTTCAGGCCCCTTGTGCCCCTGCTTCTGGGAGCTCAGGGCCAGAGGCTTCTGTGGAACAGTCAGGGGCTGCTTCAACCTACATACCTGGGTTGACAGGACCTGGAGCTCTCCTTTGGCCCATCTGGCCTGGTACATTTTAGAGCAAGTTAAATTCAAGAAGCCTCCTTGGCCTTCCAGTTCTCAGTTCAGTCCCTGCAGGACAGCTGCCTAGGGCAGTGCAACTGCTGGAGCAGCAAATGGCAGGGTGGGTAGGGGCCCAGGGCCCTGTTCAAATCTCTGCCCTGCTGGGTACCTTACATCAAACCACTTAAATCTGTGCCTCAGTTTCCTCTGTTGTAAAATGAGACCAATAATACTACTCCCCTCACAGAACTGCTTGGCATATAGGAGAGACCCAACAAAGGTTAGCAGTTGTTCTGACTATGGAATGTAGCTCAGGGAGTGGTGGAGGTGATGGGCTGGGTAGGGTGGGAGGAGTGAGTTTAAACAGTTTGCTGAACAGGACTCTTCTGAGAGCAGCTAAGTGGGTCCTACATTCTGGCTATGAGAAGCAGGTGTGGGGGCTCTAAGGATGGTCCCTAGTTTGGCACAGGGACCCACAGGCAGGGAGGCTTTCTGGCCTCAGTCAGACATGGGCAGTGTTGAGCTAAGCTGTCTTCCCAGTGATGCTGGAGCCCTTCTCTCTGCCTAACCCTCTGGCTACCTAAGCAGTCTATACATGAGAAGCCCCTTCTTCAAGTGAAAGCTTCTGAGCTCACTATGAGCATGGGAGCTGAAGTCTCTCTGGGTTCAAATCCTCAGCTGGGGGTTTGAGGTGGGTTACTTCACCTCTCAGAGACTCAGTTTTCTTATCTGTAAAATGGGGTAACAGTAGCCCCTCCCCATCAATGCTTGGAGGGAATGTTTGGCACACAGTAGGGCCGTCATTATCACAGAGAAGAGAAAGGCCCTGAGCTATGCTGGATGTGGTGACAATGGGCCCTGGATCCTGACTAATCAGCCTTCTCATTCTCTTCTTCACCTACAGGCTCCCAGAAGGGACTCTGAGAAGCACAGTGTGACGGACACTTGTCTGGCTCCACCCCACACAGACTGATCAGGCTGATTCCTTCCCCTCTCTGGGCCTTGGGTACCCAATGCCAGGTGGGCTTCCTATCTTTCTTTTCTCCCTGGAGCCTGCTAAAGGCACAGGGGCTGCCACAGGGCCAGGGAAGAGCCTTCTTGCAGGTTAGGTCTGAATAAGAGGACGAGACTCTGAGCCCGAGCTGAGGCCTGGGCTGTATGCAGCTTGACTGTGGGCCTATAGGTCAGACCTGGGTTCTAGGATCGGCTCTGTCCTGTCTCAGCCTCGGTTTCCTAGTCTCTAGAATGAGAGCAACCAGGGCAGGCCTCCTGCTCTGCCTGCTAGCCTCTCATGGTCTCCCCAAGGTGCCCACGGAAGGAGCTCAGCCAGATCCTGCCAGAGGAGGAAGGCCACTCACCATTGAGTGCTGGGGGTGTGGAAGGAGATCCTAAGGGGGATGAGTCATCTGAATCCAGGTACCATGTGGCTTCGTCCATGCGGGACCTTCTCCTGGTGATGGGAGGGCAAGGAGGGGTGCTTTAGGAATTTCAGAACTTGGGAAGCAGATGATGCTGGGGCTGGAGGGCACTCAGGTACTCACCTCCCATTCTGGGCTTCCCCAGGCTTGGGGGAACTGGGACCCCAAGCCCAGCATGCTCGCCGCTCTCCATTGCTTGAGTCCTCCAGACGTCGGGGAGACTGGCGCCCCCATGCCTGGCCTGGCTCTGCAGGCTCCACTACAGGGGAAACGAATGGAATTGGAGATGATCCGTATCCTCCTTCCACTGTGACAGTCAGCTTCAGAGTATGGGGAGCAGGCTGGGCCCTGTACCATTCCCAGGATGAGCTTTGGGTGGGATAGATGGGTTTGGGTCTTGGGGCAGACAGTGGGCTGTGGCATCTCATCTAGCCCTTCAGCTGACATTTGCTACTCAGTAGTTAGGACACTGCCTGGGTTTGAATTCTGGTTCTTCCACTTACTAGCTGTGTAGCAAGTTACTTTTTACTCCATCCATAAAACCTAGCTAACAATAAAAATAACTACCTCATCTATAAAACTTAGATAATAAAAATAACTACCTAACAGAATTACTGTAAGAAATCGATTATTAGCAAAGCATTTAGGAAAATGAGTAGTACATAGTGTCATACAATTGTTTGACTAAAAAAAAATAAAATTAATGCAGCTTTGGAGTTCAGAGCTAACAGTCTAGACCTAGGGCAGGGAGGAAGAGGAGGTAGTGAGTGAGATCCACCTCCCAGGGCAAGGTTAGATAGAGGATAAGGGGCTCAGGGACGAAGAGGGGGATGAAAGGTGAGGTTTCTTACATTGGATGGCCCGGAACCGGGGGAAGGTGGGCGAATCCCCAGCCCCGACCTCGAAGACGTTTCTCCTCCGGTCAAGGCCGGGTGAGGCCTGCACGGTGATGCGGTGCTTGAAGTCTGGGGTTTGGGTGGGGGGGGGAGCAGGGTGCAGGTTTGTGATCTGCAGGGGCCCAAGGCCGGCTCCCGGGCCACGCAGGGAGCAGCAGGGTGGCTGTGGCAGTGGCCAGCCTCACTGGCTTCTCGAGCCCTGCGTTCTGGATCAGGAAAGCTGGGCTCCACCTCCAGAAGCGCCTCCAAGTCGGAAAGGTCCGAGCGCCGGCCTGCCCCGCCCCCTAGACCTTCCCAGAACTTTCGTGCACCACACCCCTTCCCGGCCGCAGCCACTCCAGACCGACATGCAAATACTTCCGCCAGAACCCACCCACAGACAGAAAAAACACTCCTGGTTCCACCCCTTCCAGCCTTCAGCTCATGGGCCCACCCACAACACCCTAAACCAATCCCAGCGTGGTCAGCACACAGCCTGGCTCCACCCCCCCGCGGTCGCAGCCACTGGCGAGGGACGCCCAGGTGCCCGCCCCTCACCGAGTGGCATGCTGATGCGCTCTCCGCCGTCGCGCGCCCGGAGCTTGCTGCGCTTGAAGGTGCCGCGGCGGCGGCGCACGTGCGGCCGCTCGCGGTCCACCTGCTGCAGCAGCAGCGTCAGCTCGCGCTCGAACACCTCTAGCTCCCACTGGGCCAGCAGGTACTCGCGCCGCCGCAGCTGCTCCGCTTGTGACCGCTGCTCGCGCGCGGCTCGCGTCAGCTCCTCCTCGCGGCTCAGTAGTTCCTGCGGCCGAGACAGCGAAGGCGGGGAGGTCAGCCTGGCACTGATCCCGGCAGCGCCCGCCCCCACTCTGCCCCAAGGAGACCGGGGAGATGCTCCTTCCAAAGCTGGGTCCCTTGACTTACCTTTTCCTTTGCTCGCAGCTCGTCGAAGAGACCTTGGATCTCGCGTTTCCAACCTTCTTGCATGGAGTGAAAGGAGTCCCGCGGCATTTCCCGCAGGACCTGTGCCTCCAGCGCCTCCAGCTGCTGCAGGATGGAGGCGAAGTCGGGCCTGCGGTGAGGGTCCTGCGCCCAGCAGTCTAGGGGCACCGCGTGCAGCGGGGACAGAATAAGAAGGGGTCTGTGGGTGGATGCGTCCTGGGCTAGGGAGCTCTGCCCCTCACCTGCCCTCCGTGTCCTCTTACCGGCCATAAGCTGTGCGAAGGGCTCGGGGCAGGTGGATGGGATGGGCAGTGTGAGCTTGTTAACAGCTACGCCATAGGCCACAGCGAGGCAGTCAATGCCACGGTAGGGCACCTCTCCGGTCAGCAGTTCCCACAGCAGCACCCCAAAGCTGTGGGTGAGACAACAGGCCTGTGTTCTCTTCTCTCCCAGCCCCTACCCCCTTACTGCCACTTCACCCAAAAGCGACTAGGAGCTAAGTGGTTTGGGTCCCTGTCCCAGCCCTAGACTTAGGCAGCCACCTCTGCCCTCCGAAGCCCCGAAGCAGACCCTGTCTAGCCCCACCAGGGGCCGCACCTCCAGACATCGCTGCCCTTTGAGAAGGTGGAGGCCTTGATAACCTCAGGAGCCATCCAGGCATAGGTGCCCGCGGCACTCATTTGTGTGGTTTTGTGCCACTCTCGGGCCAGGCCAAAGTCGGTGATCTTCAGGGTCTTGTGCTCCATGTCGTCACCCTCAATGGGCTGCAGCAGCAAAACTAGGGAAGAGGAGGGGCCAGACTGGATGCTCCAGGATCAGGTGGTGGGGACAGGGGAAGAGCTGGGAGCAAACTCAGCTGACAGACATCCTGCTGGGTCCTGGGGGCACAGAGGTGAGTTGGTCTAGATCTTGAGGGCCTGCTTGAGGCCAGACATTGCTGCTTCTTCTTTTTTTTTTTTTTTCCTGCGATGGAGTTTTGTTCTTGTTGCTCAGGCTGGAATGCAATGGCGTGATCTTGGCTCATTGCAATCTCCACCCCTGGGGTTCAAGCGATTCTCCTGCTTCAGCCTCCCAGGTAGCTGGGATTACAGGCATGTGCCACCACACCTGGCTAATATTGTATTTTTAGTAGAGATGGGGTTTTTCCATGTTGGTCAGGCTAGTCTCCAACTCCGACCTCAGGTGATCTGCCTGCCTTAGCCTCCCAAAGTGCTGGGATTACCTGTGTGAGCCACCACGCCTGGCTGAGGCCACACATTTCAGTCTCAACCCTAGCATTCAAAACCATTTATGAGCTAGATAATATTTTTCACGTTTCACAGATGAGGAAACCAAGCAGGGAAATGACTTGGCCGAGGTCATACAACCAATCAGCGGAGATTCCAACCTGGTTGGTGTGGCTCTGAAGCCAATGTTCTAGCTTTTCCCCAATACTACACTGAAGCAAAACTGGCAAGGGTGCAGCTGTCTGCATTTATGGCTTTGATTTCAGAGAGATCTGTGAGTGTCCTCTCATTTGTTGAGGCAGGAGTGTGAATTGGAACCCCCTTGGAGTGGGGAGCAAGAGGGAAGCTCTTGGTGAGAAAGGAAGCCCAGAAGGTACCACAGGCCCCTGGTGCCCACATCACACTGTGGCGAGTATAGCCACTCCCAATGCAAAGACTCCAAAAGACACCGCAGCTAGAAGGGAAGAGAAAGGGTGGGGCCCAAGAAACTGATGGTTCTTGGCCACAAAGGAGGAGCTTGGGGTCAATGTAGGCATGGATGGTCAGACTTGGTAGGGGCTTATGGCTTTAACCCAAATGGGGCCACCATACTTGATATAAAGAGGAGGAGGAGCATCAACTTGCAAATCTCTCACCAGGACAGAAATGGCTGAAGTGAGAAAAATGTTCGAGGAATAGAAAGAAGACAAAGTCCTAGTGTCATGAAGGGTCTGAAGGGCCCCTCTGCTTTTTTGGTTACCACCAACTGCACTGTGGAAGAGAAGTGATATTAAGTCAACCATGTCAGGGCACACCTCTCAGCTCTCCTGCCCAGTGTGACACAGCTGTCATGGGGGCAGCATAGGGTACAGGGCATGGGGAAGATGGAAAGGGCACCTAATACAGCCTGATGAGTAGTCAGGGAAGACTTCCCAGAGGAGGTAGCAGAACCAGGGTGCTCATTTTTCAGGACTTAAACCCACAACCCCTGATCCTGCTGTTGGCCAGGCCAGCTGGGCCTTGAGGAGGCATCTGGCACTGCTGCCAGCCGGGCCTTGAGGAGGCATCTGGCACTGCTGCCAGCCCTCCCTGATGCTCCGCTGTCCTCAGCCCCGACAGCCCCTGGCTACTTGGCTCTGTTTCTGTAATGGCCTCCCCACCTTCAGCCATTCACTCTGATGCTTCTCAGAGCATAGCCTCTTCTCAACCTCTGCTCACTGCCCCTGGCTGACTCAGCCTCTTTCAGGTGCCAGCTTCCCCTCCCCACTGGCATCTTCCATATTTGTAACTCCAGGCCAGACAGAAATCGGTTCAGCTGCCCCTCAGCTGCTCTACCTGACATCAAGGTGCCCTCCATGATGATATTTACTATTTCAGCATGCTCAGTAGATTTTCCTGCAATTTCTCCTAATCCAGAAAATGGTCTCAAAATCTACCCGCTCCTCTGAGCCAGACCCTGGAGTGGAGTCCTGAACAGTTCATCAAGCTGAAGATGACAACAAAACCCTCCTCAGATGGCTGTCATGAGCATGAAACAAGACCACACTTTTAAAGCTTTTGCGCTGGGCGAGGTGGCTCATGGCTGTAATCCCAGCACTTTGGGAGGCCGAGGCGGGCGGATCACAAGGTCAGGAGATCAAGACCATTCTGGCCAACATGGTGAAACCCCGTCTCTACTAAAAATATAAAAAGTAGGCAGGCATGGTGGTGGGTGCCTGTAGTCCCAGCTACTGGGGAGGCTGAGGTAGGAGAACTGCTTGAACCTGAGAGGTGGAAGTTGCAGTGAGCTGAGATTGTGCCACTGCACTCCAGCCTGGCAACAGAGCAAGAAACCTTCTCAAAAAAAACCTTTTGCATGGGGGCTGCCACCTGGCAGAAGTGTCCTAAAGGCCAGTTGTCCTAAAGCACTTGCTCGTATCTCTACCCGCCTCTCCATCCTCTGTCACTCCTCACTGCCAGCTTCACAGCAGCCTCCAGTCTGGCTGCTGGAGGTGGGGACCTGACCATTTAGCAAGCCCCCACGACAAGCTCATTCCAAAGGGGAAATGCAGCAGGCTGGAGCAGTGGGTGGAGTGGAAATGGACACCTCCCCTGGTGCCAGGGCCCACCTCCCCCTTTGAAGACCAACCCTTGCTGCTTCCTGGCCTGGTCTCTGGCCACTTGTGGCACCCCAGACTGGCAAAGTGCTGTTTCAATGTCTCAGGCTCGGGGGACACTCTGAGGCCCTGGGTGGGGCAGCGACTCACCCAGTTTCAGGACTTCTTTGTACTTGTGGCCTTTTTGTTACCTCCCCGCTCCCGGCTCTGCCACCTGCTAAGCCTCATCCTCTGCTTTCTCCCCAAGCTTGCCTTCAATTTGTCCCAACTCAAGCTGCTGTTCTGGTGTCTGATGTAGACCTCGGGCATGGGAGGTCAGGGGTCACCCAGAGGAGATGGCCTAGAGATCCCAAAGCTAGGGCAGGCCTCTCAGTACCCCTTTAGGGCTCCCTGGCCTCTGACAGGGACCTGACCACCAGCCCCCCTCCCTGGGCTGGCCTCTGTGGGGCTCGGGAGTGGCCTGGGTAGCTCACACCTCTTCCGCTTCCCTCCCCTGGTCCCTACTTCTCCTTTCTGGGAGGCCTGGGCCAGGTCTCCCACTTGGGAGGGGGAGTCCTTTTGGCCAGAACTGGGGGAGGTCAGGCCCAGGCCGGGCTGGCTGGTCAGTCCTGTGACTCGTGGGCCTGGAGAATTCCCCCTCCTCTCCCCACCAGGCTTCCTCACAAGGCCCCCATTGTCCAGGAAAATCATGCCATTGTTTCCTGCCTGTGCCCCCCCAGCCCAGGGACTCCCCCCACCCCAATCCCGCCAACAGCAACTTGGGCCTAGGACTGGGGTCTTGGAGGTTAAATGCCAGGCTCAGGGAGGCTGAGGGCACCTTGCCTGCCCTTCACCACCACTTCTCAGACTCAGAGAGGGAAGCAGGGAGCTAGAGGGGAGTGGGGGAGCAGTTCCAGGCTCCTTCCTCCCACGAGCCCTCCACCCCCAGCCCTTTCCTCCCCTGCAGGCAGCTGGGCTAGGGAGGGAGCAGGCACTGGAGCAGGGGCAGGAAGCCGGCTCAGGGGCAGCAGGAAACGCAGGAAGCAGTGGGGAGGGTGGGGAACAGGGGCCTGGGCTATTGTTCCATTTTTTCTGGAAAGAAAACGGCGGAAAACCGAAGATGGGAGTCCCCTCCCCCTGTGCCTTCAGGGAACCCCCAGGCTGGGGCAGTAAGTGGGGGTCCCTAGATAGCTGCAGCCCAGGGTTGAGGCTGAAAGGTGGGAACTGCACCCCATTAGGGATAAGAAGAGTGGGTGGGGTGGCTGGCAAGCCTCCCCAGCTCCTCCAGCCCTGGCAAGAACTTGGATATCGGGCTCAGCACTCCGTTCCTCACAGCTCCTTGTCCGTGGTCAGTCCAGGTTCAAAATAGCCATGGTGACCCCCCTCTAAGAACCTCTCATGTTTTTCCAGTGACCCCACTAAGCCTGGCTCCTCCTGCATTATCTGCTGCTGCTCTCCAGCCTGCACCCTGGGCTCTAGGAGCCCGCCTGGTCCCCGCTGTGCGCTGGGTCCTGCTTCCACACCTTCACTCTCTAAATGCTGCATGCACCAGGAGGCCCTCTGAAGCTGTCACCCGCTTCTCTTGGGCCATGATGGCAGTGTGTGCGGGGCTTGAAATGATGGGAGATGGAATCTCCCTTAGCCCAGCACTCCCACAGCAAACACTGATTCCAGGCTAGGCCCTCTTGCCAGTCCAGCCCTCAAATGTTCTTCTCCACGGCTGAGGACCCACTGCGGGTCGGGCTTGCCCAGGCTGTTCAGCTGTTTCACTCTCCCTTTTTACAGAGTCTGAAATTGAGGCTCTGAGTTGAAGTAACCCCAGCCAGAGGTCATGCAGCCAGGGAGGGCTAGGCCAGAATTCCAGCCCTGGCCTTGGCCTTGACTGCCAAGGAGGGCTTCCCCCTCTGAGATATCGGTTCTGGAGGAGCTGCCCCCCATGACAGGAGGGGATGACAGAGCACCAACTCCACAAATACGAATTTAGGAGAGGAGAAGATGAGGAGTGCCAGCTTCCAGAGGACCTCCTTGAGGTGGGAGCCACTTGAGAGGTCCCAATAACTTGTTCAAACCACAGCTACAGGCTGGGGTCAAGGACTTCTGAAGCTGGGGCAGGAGGACTCAGCTGTGTGCCTGGGACTCTGTTTTGGAGCTAGCTTAAGCCGAGGAGCACCCCTGGTCAGCTGAGACCCTTTAGGGTGGGAGCTCCTGCCTGCAGTAGACCCTAAGCTAGCCTCAGTAGAAGGTTGGGAGCAGGTGTGTGCCAGGGCCATGCCACCCCCCCAGCCACGCCCCCAGCAACTCACTGTTGTTGGACTTGAGGTCTCGGTGGATGACAGGCACCAGGGCCTCACAGTGCAGGTAGTGCATCCCACGGGCAATTTGCACGGCCCAGTTGACCAGCACATGTGGAGGCACGCGCCGCCCGGCTAGAGCTCGGCTGAGGGGCCCACCGGCGGCATACTCCATCACCAGACACAGGTTGGGCTCCTCCAGGCACACAGCCTTGAGGGCAATGATGTTGGGGTGTGCCAGCATGGCAAAGAGCCGGGCCTCCTGGCGAACGCTCTCAGCTGTCACACTGATGTCCTCATCGGGGTCCTGGCGAGCTGCCTTCACAGCCACCAGCTCTCCTCGCCAGCTGCCACGGTAGACCTTGCCGAAGCCTCCAATGCCGATCACCTCCTCCAGGCGCAGCTCCTGGAAGCTGGCCACCTCACAGGGGGGCGGGCCACCGCCCCGAGACACATAGTTGGATGGGAAGATGCCCACCTGGCCCCCCACCTGGCCCGCCCACCAGCCCTCGTCTCCTGAGATGGCTGCGTCCCGAGACAGCACCTCCACACGGTCACCCTTCCTCAGGGCCAGCTCATCCTGCCCACTGGGCTCGTAGTCAAACAGGGCTGTCCACACCGGGTTGGCATAAGCTGCTGTCTTTGGAGACCCCTCAGGCCGGCCTCCTCCGCCACCCCCGCCACCCCCACTGCCGCTGCCGTTCCATGACCCTAGAGGGCTCTTGAGGAAGAGGTTCTTCAAGGGCTCCATAGCCCGGAGCCGGCGTCGGGATGCGTGGAGGACCTTCTCTGGGTGCCTGTGGTCCCCACCCCCGCTGGCTGCCAAGGCCCTAGTCCCGAAACCTGGGCATCCGGGCCCTGGCCCTCAGCCCCAGACCCACGCCTCTCTGGGGAGCCAGGAGTGTCTCCTCCCGGCCCCCCGCATCTCGGGCTTCTGGAGGAGGGCACCCAGGGCAGTGTGGTCAGGCCGGGGGAGTAGGGCCCCGAGGCCTCTGGCGCCTCACCATGGCTGGCTTGGAAGGGCCCGGGCTTCCCTCGGTTCTGGAGCAGTCCTGGGAGCCTGGCTCCGACCCTCGGCAGGCGTAAGGTGGGGCCTCCAGGGGCAGCGTCTCAATTCCGGTTGGGTCTTCTCGCGCAGGGCCTGGGGGGAACGTCCCCAGTTGGGCCGAGACTACCTCTTCCTGGCCCCGGCTCCTTTGGCCCCGACGGCTCCGACCCCGTTCCCTTCTTCCTCCTCCCTTTGTACTTTGGCCCCGGGGGGCGGGAGGCAGAGGTGGAGGGTGGAGTTTCACTTTTTTCCGCTCTTCACCCTCCTGCAGGAAACAGCATCAGATGACGCGGGCAGCTTGCACCGCTCCCCTCCCGGAGGCTCCAGGCGGGAAGTTCCAGGGTAGGCGGGCCAGGAGAGGCAGAGGAGGGAAAGGGCTGCACCAGATTCTCCATCACAGCAGGCTTTGAGATCTAGAAAGAAGGCCCCCTCTCACCCGCCCCCCCCACCCCCCCCCGCCGCGAGCTGCGTACTCTGCTGCGTAGGGTGGAGGTTGGTCTCTGCTAAGGATGGGCCATCTCTGCCCTCTGCATCCGCATCGGCGTCAGCAAAACGGGGTTATAGAACCACACTTGGGAGGTGGGGTGAATCCGAGTCTGGTCCTGGCTACGAAGTTGTGGGACTGGGCGATCCATCCACTTGGAGCCTCACTCTTTTCTTTCTTTTTTTTTTGAAACGGAGTTTTGCTCTGTCTCCCAGGCTGGAGTGCAGTGGCGCAGTCTAGGCTCCCTGCAACCTCCGCTTCTCAGGTTCAAGCGATTCTCCTGCTTCAGCCTCCCGATACAGGCGCCCCCTACAAGTCCGGCTAATTTTTGTATTTTTAGTAGAGACGGGGTTTCGCCATGTTGGCCAGGCTGGTCCCAAACCCCTGACCTCGTGATCCGTCCGCCTTGGCCTCCCAAAGTGCTGGGATTACAGGCGTGAGCCACCGCGCCCAGTCATTCTTTTCATATATGATATGAGGACAAGAAGCTCTGCCTCGCAGAGCTAGTGGGATGGGGTGGGGAAGACTGGAGGACAGACGGAACTGGCTGCAGCTCAAGCTCTTGGAGTGGGTTGTCTAAGGCTCTCCTCTAATCTCCTCACCTGGGAAACAATCCGCTTCTTCATGTCCCTTCCCCATTGGCGAAAACCTGAGACTTGTTCAGAACTTTGCCCAGGATTGGATTCAGCACAGCTGAGTCGCTCTCACAACCGCTAGATAGGGCTGCCCCAATTGCTTTGAGCCTGTCATTTTAAGAAAGACGACGCTATCCTATTTCGACTATTCCTGCCTGTTCCGGAAGGTTGTTCTCTACTCCCTAGGTCTGAGTTGTGACCCGGAAGTAGACGCTGCTGGGAGGAAAGTTTATGACGTATATGGGGGGGGGTCCAGCATTAAAAGGGGCGGGCCGAGAGGGGCGTGCTTCAGTAGTGCACCACTCTCGCTGCAACTAGGGGAGTCCACGCCTCCACCTTTTCCCCGTCTCATTGGGAGAGCTGTGCGCCAATTAGTTTGCCATTACCCAATGGCTACTCAACTATCCCTTTGGTTCCGCCCAGTCGTCGCCCCTAGTTTGGCAACACCTAAGTCTGTGCATGCGCCAAAACTGCGCAGGCCCAAAGGGCATCCCTCGCATCACACAGCGCCGCCACCTATCTGCGCCTGCGCTTTCATGCCGTCAAGTTTTCCTTTTCCGGGTCCCAATTGGAACCGTCGGGCGCATGCGCTAGTGCAGGCTGGCTGCTCGCGGATCCTTCTTCCGGCCTCCTCCTTGGGCCGGCACCGGCATAAGCCGGGCGAGCGCGGAGCCCCAAGCGAGTGACCTGCGACCCCGGAAGTGGACCCCAGATTCCGAGGTTCTCCCCTGTCCGGAGCCTAGGGAGCCGTTGCCTGCACCCCGGGAGCACCCACCCCACGCCCACCTCTGGATGTCGCCTACGGGTGCCCGGCCCGTGGCCCGCGCCTGCCTGCCGGCTCGGCCCCGCGGAGCAGTTCTGGGCCAGGGGTGGGGACCCGGACCCCGGCCCTAATGCGGCCCCACCTCCGCGCCCGGACCTCGCACTGCTGACTGTTCCGGCCGGCTCCGCCCCCTGCCCGCACCCTCGCGCGGCCGAGCCCCACTCACCCGCTAGGGGAGGCCATGGCGTGAGCGTGAGGCCGGGCCCCGGGGCCCTCGGGCGCCAGGCGGGGCATGGGCCGGGGGCCGCCCCCATGAGGGTCCCGGGAGGGGGGCGCGCTCAGAAGCGGCGGGGCCATGGGGTCGCAAGTGTTGCAGATCCTGCGCCAGGGGGTGTGGGCCTCGCTCACCGGCGGTTGGTTCTTCGACCCGCACCAGAGCACCTTCTCAAACTGCTTCCACCTATATGTCTGGATCTTCCTGCTCATCTTTCCCTTCTTGCTGTACATGGTGAGACGCCACGGCCACCTGTAACTCCAGTTGGGAGAGGGAGGGCAGCCTGGCAGGGATTCGGGCCGTGCCCTGGGCTCTGCAATGTGGGGAGAAAGGAATCACTGCAGAGTTTGGGTCTGTGTGGAAGAGACCAGTCTTCCTTTCTTGGATTCAGTGACCTTGAGCCCCACATTTAACCTTATTCAGCTAAAGAGAAGACAGAGCCACTTGTCGAGGTCTGTGTACTGGTTGTGTGGAGGGGTGATGTTTTCTTGTGAGTCTGAATCTCAGCCATGATTGGTGGTAGATCCTGTGGGGGCAAGACTTTGTGAAAAGGGATCTGGCTTTTATCTTCAGGTCCTGCCTCCCAGCTTGATGGTGGCCGGCGTGTACTGTCTCGTGGTGGCTGTCATCTTTGCTACCATCAAGACGGTCAACTATCGGCTGCATGCCATGTTTGACCAGGGCGAGATCGTGGAGAAGCGAAGCACTACCATGGGGGAGCTGGAGGAAGAGCCTGCCCAGGGCGACAGCAATCCGCCCAGGTGGGTGGGATAGGGGTTGTGCTGGGGATTGAGGGTTTTTGTTGCCTGGGTCTGAGCATTGCAGGGTGGAGTAGGCGCTTAGAGAACATTGGCTCTCTGAGTGAATGTGAGCACTTGTCCTGTATTAGCCCTGGAATTGTAAAGTCACTTCTGAAGAGGAGGCAGTGACAAAGATGGGAAAAAGTAACGTGCAGAGAGGAGGTTAGCCCAAAGCTGCTGCTCTTTTTCACCGCCAGGGACCCCGGAGTGGAGATGACGGTGTTTCGGAAAGTCAGTTCCACACCCCCAGTGCGCTGCAGTTCCCAGCATTCCGTGTTTGGTTTCAACCAGGTCTCGGTGAGTGGGCCTGGACCTTAGCTTGTCCTGCTGCTCCTCTGTGAGCCAGTTCCTGCTGTGGGTATGTCCTGAGCCTACTTCTTGCCTTGTTTGCTCCTTCACGCCTCTCTCTGTCCACTCAGGAGCTGCTTCCCCGAATGGAGGACTCTGGGCCCCTAAGAGGTAGGTGTCTGGTCTTCAGGGTTGGGGCACAGTGCTGTGGAATGGGGGCTGGAGCTGGCATGCTGTGCCAGGAGTCCTGCTGACGCCTCTGGGGCCATGGTTGCAGACATCAAGGAGCTGGTGCGGGAGCAGGGCAGCAACAATGTGATCGTGACCTCCGCCGACCGAGAGATGCTAAAGCTCTGCTCGCAGGAGAAACTGAGTGCGTGGGCCTGATGGGGCCCGGGCTTGTGGGGTAGAACAGCTGTTTCCTTGTTGAGTCCCCTAAATTCTGGTTCCGTCCTGGGTTTCCTCTGTACTTCTCTATGGGACCTCCCCAGCGTGCTGCTCTGGCCTGGCTCTCAGGGAAAGTACAGGGCGTAAGATCTCCCTTAACCACCAGTTTCTTTTGCAGAAAATTCTGTTCTCATTTTCTGTCTCCCTTTCTTCTGGCAGTTGGAGACCTTCCCCAGACGCCTCCAGGGGCTGTCCCGGACCCCTCTCTTCCCAGTACAGACTCTTCAGAGCCTTCTCCCCTGGCTGGAGATGGAGCGCCCTGGAGTGGGAGCAGCATGGCTGACACTCCCATGAGCCCCCTGCTGAAGGGGAGCCTCAGCCAGGAGCTGAGCAAGAGCTTCCTGACCCTAACCCGGCCTGACCGGGCCCTGGTAAGGACCAGCAGTCGACGGGAACAACGCAGGGGGGCAGGCGGCTACCAGCCCCTTGACCGGCGGGGCTCAGGGGAGCCCACACCCCAGAAAGCTGGCTCCTCAGACTCCTGCTTCAGTGGCACTGACAGGGAGACGCTGAGCAGCTTCAAGAGTGAGAAGACCAACTCCACCCATCTGGACAGCCCCCCAGGGGGGCAAGCCCCTGAGGGCAGCGACACCGACCCACCCTCTGAGACTGAGTTGCCTGCCTCACCAGACGCTGGGGTCCCTTCAGATGACACGCTGCGTTCCTTTGACACGGTCATTGGAGCAGGGACGCCACCGGGCCCGGCTGAGCCGCTCCTGGTTGTGCGGCCCAAGGACTTGGCCCTGCTGCGGCCTAGCAAACGGCAGCCACCCCTTCGAAGACACTCTCCACCTGGCCGTGCCCCTCGACGGCCCTTGCTTGAAGGTGGAGGCTTCTTTGAGGATGAAGATACGAGTGAGGGCAGTGAACTGAGCCCAGCCTCTAGTCTCCGATCGCAGCGCCGCTACAGTACTGACAGCTCCTCTTCTACTTCCTGCTATTCCCCTGAGAGCTCCCGGGGTGCAGCAGGGGGGCCCCGGAAGCGGAGGGCCCCCCATGGGGCTGAGGAGGGGACTGCCGTGCCCCCCAAGCGGCCATATGGGACCCAGCGGACGCCTAGCACTGCCAGCGCTAAAACACATGCCCGTGTGCTGAGCATGGATGGGGCCGGGGGTGATGTCCTGAGGCCCCCCCTGGCTGGCTCCAAGGCCGAGTTGGAGGCCCAGATTGCGGTAGAGCAGGCTGCTGGTGAGCCTGCTGTGCTACCTGCTGAGGCCCGAAGGGGACCTGCTGCTAACCAGCCTGGCTGGCGAGGGGAGCTGCAGGAGGAAGGTGCTGTGGGGGGAGGTGAGTGCTGGCTCCAGAGGCAGGGGCTGCGGGAGGTGAACTATGGGCTTGGGTTTGGGCAAAGAGCAGGTAAGAGTGGACCTGGTCAGCGTCAGCTCAGCCTCTGTTGCAGGCAACAGATGGACGTGGGCCTGGTGATGAGTGACATTGTTTTCCAAACCTCTGAGACACGTGGGGCTCTGCCGCCTGGCCACATTCTGTAGTTCACACCTGAGTCTGTCCTCTGAAGACTTTGATCATCCACGCTCATTCTCCTACTACCAGTGGGGTGGGGCAGGACAGATCAGTGTCATCCTTGTTTGCAAGTGAGGAAACTGAGGCATGTGGCTTTGTGATCTGACTGGGCCCCAGAGCCAGGGCATGGTTGTACTAGGCCTTTAACTCCCTGCCAGAACACCACTGGAGCCTTACTCCCCCAGCCCTGTCTGAGCATCTGTCACTTATATTTGG